ATCAAGGCGGTAGTGCAGCAGGGTCGCCAAGCATTGGTTGACTGGCATCGAGCAGCTTGACTGGGCCACGATCTTGATAGGCTTCTTTCGGTGCAGCAGCGGCTGTCGCTGCGTCGGCCTGCTTCGAGTCCGCCATACCGCTGACAGTGGCCTCTGCTGCTGTTGCCACCGCCGTAGTTGCCTCTGCAGGCGCGTCTGCGGCCGGAGGGGGCGCGGAATCTGCAGATGCAAGAGGCGCTGCTTCAGATGCGGGGGCAAGTGTCGCCGCTGCTACGGACGTCGATGCCGGTGCTGCGGATAGCCCCAACTCGTCGACTTGCTTAGCCGCTGTGTGCGTCGCCTCGTGCTTGCGCTTTCGCCTGGCAGCGCGCGGCGAAGAAGTCGAAGAAGAGAATTTGCCCGCTGCTCCTTCTACTGCTGCTTTCTTCGTCGGCGTAGTCTTGCTCCGCCGGACACCACCAGATGTGGACGCTTCCGGGCTCGACGGCGCGCTCGTTTTGCTGTTGCTGTTGGTAACGCCCTTGCCTCTGCTAGAAGAGCGAATGAGGCCGCTGAGCAGGGGAGAGCGCGGTGGCGAAGTGGCACCGCTGGCGGTGACGCTGCTGCTGCCGATGCCGCTCGCTGACGACAACGATGCCGGCGCGCGCCCGCCAAAAATAGCATCAGCAGGCCCTCCTACCTCGCGGCCTTCCAAAAAGGTGCCATTCTCAGCTGCTGCGGTGGCAGCGCTGCTTGCGCTGACGCTACGATGCATGTCCGTCGACGACGCTTCGGCGCCGGAGGCGGCAAGGTCCTGCTGCGGGGAAGAAGAAGAGGGGCCAAGTAGCGGCGGCGGAACGAGACCGGTGGACGCCAGCTTGCCGATGGCGGCAGCGAGGAAGCCACCCTTGGCCTTCCTCTCGCGCCTGGCGGCCGCGTCCGCCTCGGCGGCGGCGGCGGCCTTGCGCGCGATCGCCGCGCCGCCGCCCTCGTGCGCCTGCAGCTCGCCCAGATCCTCGTCCGAGTCGGAAGGGAGGAGTGCCTCATCGTCAACGGCGGCGGCCGCCTGGTCCACGCGCGAGACGGCAGTCAGCTCCTCTGGCTTAATGTGCGGCGGGGGAGGGGGCGATAGGCCCAGCACGAAGTGGTCTTGGTGCTGCGGGGAGGAATGAAAAGAAGAAGGAGCATCAGCCGCTCGTGTTCATGTTTGCAAAAGCGCATGGCCGCGCGAACGCCGGCACTGGACGCACCTCGATCAAGAATTCTAGCACCTGCACCGCGGTCTGATGCTCGTCGGCTGACAGAAGGTGGGAGGGATGCGAGAACATACCCGGCTGGAAGATGACGGCGAGATCTGCGGCGCGGACAATGAATCGTCAGCGATTCTTTTTGGGGTGGAAGGGGGGGAGGGGAGGGGTGAATGCATTATGTATGGCTGCACACAGTGCAACTCACTCGCAGACGTCATGAGGTTCTTGCCGCTCTTGCGCGCAAAGACGGCGAGGAGGTCGAGGACGTAGAGCAGGAGGTACTGGTTGGCAGGTGGGCTGCTCTGTATCAGCAGGCGGTACGTCTTGATGGCGGCGTCTGGTTTGAACGGGCGCTTCACCATGACGTTGCGGAACTCCGAGTAGAGGTGCAGCGGCACGATCGGCTCAGGCATGTGGTTGAGATAACGGCGCAGCACGCTCGCCGCGTCGTGCACACTATACGGCGTCTTGGTCCAGTCCACGTTCTTGCCGTACTTGGGCGGCCGCTCGAACAGCTCCTGCAGCTCCTTCATCCGCTTCTGGCTCCCCGCGATGCGGAACACACCCTCGACCTCGGTCGCGTTCTCCTTCAGGTACAGCCCCAGCTTGGCGACAACGGCGGGGATGTAGCCCCACACGTACTGGTTCCCGTCCGGCCCGGCCATGGAGATGGCAACCGAGGCATACTTGAGCGATGTCCGCAGCGGTACGCCAAACACGCGGCCTGCACCACCATCGCAACCACCACTGCGGCCGCCGGACGAACTGGCGCCAGAGCCGCCCGAGGCTGCAGAGCCAGAAGCGGCGCTGGTGCTGCTCGTCCCACTGGCGCCCTTGGCTGCGTCCGAGGGAGACAGGTAGGCGGCGCGCTTCATCGGAGACGCGCCCTTGCGGGTGAATCCAGCCCACTGGTAACAGGCAAACGTCGGTTGCAGACGCGGAAAAAAGCGTCAGCATCCGGCTTTGATCGGCCCGGCGTATACGCTCCGTACACGCCGCTTTTTGGCCCCACTCACCCACGCCTTGAGCCCCGCCTTGGTGTTCTCGCGCTCATCCGAGGAGTTGGAGCTGACGGTTGAGAGCGGCATCTTTGACAACGCACCGATTCCAGTGCTACGCTTTTTCTTTTCGTTTCCTTGCCTTGCACTTCCTGTCGGATCGTGTGTGTACGGCACAGCACCCAGGCGAGACGGCCGCACTACACTGGGTGCTGCGTGCGTCCCTGGGCCGGGCACTGACAAAGAGGAGAAAGGACACTGGGTGAGGAAGGCGCATTCGAGGCGAAGACAATGGCTGGACTGCAGTTGTCGCAACCGAGGTCGCGGCGTGGGAGGATGGCCGCGGTGGCAGTGTTGGCGTGTCAGATCGCTGCCGGGCGTCTTGTGTATTTGGCATACGTTTCAGCGTGTCGGCGGAACGGCGAGACGCAGAGGAGGCAAACAGTAACGACTGCTGGCTGAGACACGGGCGTGGCAAGCAGAGTCGAGGATCGGTTAGTGTGCATTTACCTCCCACTCGTCGCGGCAGGGCTGTTTGCTTGGACAGCGACGCGGGGCCGAGCAGGAGTATCCGCCCTTTGCTTTGCTGCAGTGTCAGAATGCGGCCTGCAGATGGTGCGGGGTGTGTTGGGTGTCCAGCCAGGAAGCTGTCCTTCGCGATCAGATAAAGTGGGGGATGCGGGGAGCGCGCGGCGAGGTGGGGTATGTGAAAGAGAGGATATGGAGCGCGTGGTGTTGGCAGCGACGCGTGAAGAGCGCGCAGCTCCGATGGATCCGCGCCAGTGCTGCCCGCTGACGATATCGAGCATCGACGGGTACAAGGGAGGGGGAGGAGCGGAACGTTGGGTGGTGCCACCATATAGAGCGAGACGTCGACTCTTGCGGCACAGGAAGAGTCTGGTCTAATCGTGCACACCATCTCCGAGGGAGATGATTGCGACGTAAACCAAAACAAAATGGGTAGGATGTGGCAAAGGCGGAGACTGGCTGCCAGAGAGGCACGCACACTACAGCAGTGTCCACCAAAGCGCTAAGATTCTATTATTTCAAAAATAAAAAAAGGAAAGTGCAGTGGGGGTGGTGGCACTGCGGCACAGCTGTTAGGGGCAAGTGCACGAGCCATGGCACTATAGCGCACCACACTAGACCACACGGCGCCACGCAGCAGCAGCTCAATCATGCACGCGGACAGGGGAGGGTGCTGTGCCACCACGTGACCAAAGCACAATGCAATCCAGGCCCATCCAAATCCCACCTGGACTCTTATATCTCATCTCTCCCATGCTACGTGAGTAGCTCATCTGTCTCCCACCGCCGTCACCCAGCGCGACATAGAGACTCCCACGTGTAAAGTGACAAGCTCATCCACTCGGACGCACTTGCAGCAGCTCTCCTCCGCGCTCCGCGGCAGTCGGCGGCGTTCATCTAATCCCATCGACGCGCGCGGCACGGCCCAGACGGATCCACGCAAGATGCCCGCCTCAGCGGCCACAACAGCAGCTGCGCACGGCCGCACGCCGTCGCAGGTGTCCGTGCCCGAGCTGCGTCTGACGACAGATGTCGAGGACAACCAAGCCATGCCCGCTTCCTCCGCCATGTCGCTGTCGCCTTCGGCGCGCAGCCGCTCGAGATCCGGCTCAGGCGCAGGCACCGCGCTCAGCTTCAGCCCCGCTGCAGGGGCCGGGGGCACAGGCATAGGCGCATGGTCAGGGTCCCATGCAGGTGCAGACGCAGGGGGCTCCGGTGCAGCGGCAGCGACTACGAGCGTACCGCAAATGTACACGCCGCCGCCCAGCAGCCCTAGCAGCGTCAGTCGCCTGCATCTCAGCAAGGTGACAGAGTGAGCATCTCTCCCTGCAACAGCCGCTGGCACTGGCACCCCGATCAGATGCGACAGCTGACCTTCCCTTTCCTTCTCCATCGGGACCCACCTGCAGCCCTTCCTTCTGGTCTGCACTGCACTCGTTTCTCGAGTTCCACTTCCAGACGTCGAATGCCCCCCCTACCTCGGCCCAGGCCAATCCGAACGCCATGGCCGTGGACCAACCGCCTCCCTCCTCCTCACCCTCCACCACACCATCCACGACGCGCCCACAGCACAGCCGCACGACGTCGCTGAGCATACTGCACGCGCGCTCGCCCGGCGAGAATGAGGTGCAGCGCTTGTGGGAGGACTTCTTCCTGTCCCAGAAGCGACACCTCTCCAGCAGCGAGGTCGCGCGTGTCCGCGACGAGACGGGTATGCTCGGCCTCGCCGGCGTTTGATATGCCTACCCACTTACCTTGTCGGCAGTCTGACAAGCACTTCGGACACCCGGCCAGGCATTTCGTGTATGCCTTTCGTCGCGCGGCATCAGAACACAGGTCGGCAGACTGGGCCAGCGAGCAACTAAACAGGCCTCAGGCGCATGTGACGGACCAAAAGCGGATAAGAAAACCAAGACGAAGCACCCAGAAATACATCCGTAGACACTTCCATTCCCAGCAAACAATGATTCGTTTACGCTCACAGCGCGCGCGCCACGGTCCTGATGTGAGCGAGCGACACACGTCCACTGTACTCTATCTTACGCAGCTTCAGTCATGCAGACATGGAACGTGCACACCCGCAGCCGAGAGCCGATTCACTCGCTCATGCGCATGCATGCGCGACAAAGCGGGCTGCATAGGCTAGGCTGAAAGATATGAATGCCCACAGTGGCCTCCCCGGGACTTTCGTTTTCATTTCTTTTATCGTTTCCGTTTTGACCAAGGCATCCGCCAACATCGCAACGGCCAGCTTTAACTTTTGAGTATCCAAACCGTTCGTTCGCTCGTCGTGAGCGCAATTGGCGCCATCTGCACTCGATGGGTGGGGTGTGAACGCTTCGTCCGCGCCTGAATGTCCAACTCTGCTTTCCTTCAGCAACAATTCGATGATGTCAGCTGAACTGATCAATTGGCAGGCCGAGCGCAACGTAGGTCGCGCTGTTCAAGATGAAGAAAGTCTTGGACCGGCTGCATCCTATCCCCAATGGTGCATGCAATGAGATTAGCATCCGCGACATGCAGAGCCATAGCAGAGGGCATAACGTTGAAGCCAAATGAAAAGAGAGTCAAACCCACTATTCATCACGGTGATTTCTTCTTGGAGTTCAAGAAGTCAAAGCACAGGTACAGCAAGCGACGATCGCATCTTACACTCCCCACCCCAAAGGAAAGAGCGCAGCAAGCGCACAAAGCTCGCTGGCCCGGGCCGAGCGGCGCATCCCCTACGCATAGTACTGCTCCGGCGCGCACAGCTGGTGCCAGGCCTCGCCGTGGCGATAAATGACCACTGCCGCGCGCCTGCGCCGCAACTCGCTCTGCCACTCCTCTTCCTCTTCCGCCTCCTGCCCTTCCTCTTCCTCCCCTACTACGCCATCGCCCGCCGCGCGTCCTCTGCAATCCAGGGTGCGCCAGCTTGCTCGGACGGCAAAGGCAGATGCGACGTCGTCACGCTCCTCGGCCTCGCCATCGCCGAGACTGCTGAGCCCCAAGCCAAAGCCAAAGCCAGCCCCGGCTGCGCTGCTGGTTGAGCCGAGTGAAGCACCGCGCGAACGCTCAAGCGGAGACCGCGCAGGTGCCACCCTCGGCACGTCGGCGTCGTGTGCAACGCCCAGGAAGCTCTGGTCGTCGTTTGGCTTCGGTCTGGCGGGGAAGTGGTCCATCGGCGCCGAAGAGGATGTCGCTTGGTGGTAGCTCCAGCCGCGCGTGAAAAAGCCGTCGGATCGTGGGTCTAACGAGACGCCTCCGCCTCCAGGTGTGAGCGCAGCGGCGGCGGCGGCGGCGTCATTGCTGTTGTTGACGTCGTTGCCGGCCCCACCGCTGCCACCCGGCTTGCCAAGGCCGATGGTGCCATCATGAGAGCCAGACCGGGCAGAAGGGAAGAAGCCCCGTGCAGGCGCCTTACCCTTGTTAATCGACGGGCTGGGGAACGCTTCCAGGTACGGGCTGGTGGGGCGGCTCGGAAGGTTAATTACGCTCGACTTTCCTCTCGCAGTCAGTGATGCGCGACGCGCATCCTGCGCATGGGAAAACGCGGAGCTGCGCCAAGCAAGGGAACGGGGGGAAGCAGTGTCGGCAGCAGCAGACTCCGTGCTCGCCACGTTGGCATTCGGCGCGTTGCTGCCGAACAGCGCACCGCCGCAGCGCATGCAGCGCTGGTTGAATGAAATGGGCCGCCAGCCGCGCCGGCGCTCGCGCGTGAGCGCATGCATGACACCAGAGATGTCGCGGTCGAACAGTCGGTTTGCGATCGACATCTCATCTGTGCGCAGATGATGCGCCATCAACATGCTCTCCAGTACGGAGCGCACATCCTTGTAGTACTGTGCTGCGGCTGGGATGTCGTCATGTCCCTGATGGCTGATCAGGCGACGGAACAGTGTCGGGAAGGAGACTTGCTCGGCAGACGCAGACGCGATCAGCGACGAGAGGCAATCCTGCACGATCCCCTGTGCAGCAGCAGCTGCTGCCGAGCTGGTGCTTGCTTTCGCCATCGCTGTTGCTCTCTGACTGATAGCTGCACTGTGCGTAAGCTGGACCAGACCTCTCAGGATGCGGTACCATTGCTCTCCGATTGCGTCGACTGGCGCGTCCCGACACAAGCGGACACCAAAGTCGAAGGCGGTATGTAGTCGCGAGGATGCAAACGTGTCACCCGTAAGCCCATCATCCTCGGCCTGTAGGGCACTGCTCTCCTGTGCGATGATACGGTCTAAACGGTCCATAGCAGCTTCCATGCCATGAGTCTTGTTGACTGTCCAGAGCAAAGCGTCGTATACCTTCTTCGACTCGGCCACGTTCATGACATGATCCAAATCGAAAAAATGTGGCTCGCGCGTTTCCAAGTTGCGCAACATGCTGCCGGGCTCGAAGGTCGCCATCAACGTAATGTACTCCTCTTTTGTCCAATCCGGAAACTGAGTAGCTTTTGACTCTCGCTCCGCTTGTTCCCTGGCGTATTCTGGGTTTAGGATACCTTTGAGGTACGAATACTGAAGGGCTGGCCTATCGCTCAACGCGTCGACAACGTCTCCGTGCCTATCTGGCGCTCGAGAGTCGATGAGCTGGGCCGTGCGCGCGACATTAATATTCGCAAGCCGCGGTGAGGAGAAAACGATTTGATCAATAAGAACTTTGCGCATCGGGGATTTGCGAGAGCATTGCGCGAAAATGCTCTGGATCTCGCCGAACACCGAGTCTTCAGCTTCAGGATCTTGAAGAAGCATGGCCACCAATCGAGTCCACTGCTTCTCTCTGCGATACGCCCTCTGCAGGATTCGGAAAAAGCCCGCCGCCTCAAAGTCATCGAGCAACGCCTTTAGGCCACCTTGAATTTCGTTTGCCAGAAGACTCTCAGCTGCTAGTTGACGGTCCTCGCGGTCTTGGTCGGATCCCTGCTTGGACAAGCGCTCGAGGATCTTGAAAGCGATTGCGCCTGAGAGCCGCAAAAATTGCGGGTACCTGTGGACGTTGCGAGCGATAAATATGTCAATCAAGACGCTGCCTGGCAGTGCACTAGCAATGTGGATCATAGCGTCGATGATCCCTTGGCGAGTGATCTGCGACGCCTCTTCTTCCTCGAGGTATGGATCTTCGAGTGCAATGTCGAGGGCGTCCAGCAATGCTTCCGCATCAAAGGATATAAGCAGGCGCAGGGCAGGATAGTCCAAGTCAAACATGTTGCCTTCGGGGGCCGCAGCTGACAATCGCGCTCGGTATGCCTCAGGCCACGATTGGGCAGTCGCTGCAAAGAGAAACCCGTAGACCTCGGCCCTCGCACGATTGGCGACATTCTCCTCGAGCTTGCTCTGACTCGGGTACTGGCGACCAAGCAAAATGACGGATAGGTATGAGAAGATTTTGTACGCATGCCCGATGCGCTGTTCCTCCTCTTGTGTGTCGTTGGCCTCGAGGTGCATCACCTGGACGATGAGGTCTCCGAGCTCGAGTAGCGGCGTGACGAAGTCTCCCAAGGCAGAGTTGAAAATGTACGTCATTGCGTCGTAAAGGCCGTGCTGCTTGCAGACTGACAGAGCTTGATCGAGGTCAAGGCAGGGTACGTCCACGTGCCAAATGATCTCTTCTGCGCGCGTGAACTCTGCGCGGTCGCAATGGAAGAGAATAAGCTTCTGTATAACTTCCGGGGGGAGGCGTCGCATGCGATTGCTGAGGATGAACTTCTCCATTTGCGCGACGAAAATGCCTTCGATGCCGTTGTCGGCGTAAAGGTCATAGAGGTCGTTGAAGAGGAAGTGCATGTCGTCCAAGATCAACGAGCTCTCGGCGCAGGCAGACGCGATATTTTCAAAAATCGCAGTGCGGTCAACGCCGCGCCCATCAGAGGATACGTGGGTCATGTCGGTGAAACGATCCTCGCTAAAGACATATTGAGCGGAGGCTCGCATCAGTTCGCGCAGCCGACTTCCTACGAGCGACTGTCGCGTTGCCGCGTCCTTCGGGAGTCCAAAAGCCAGGCCTGGCGCAGTACCTTGGTAGTAAGCGGTGCATAGTCGAATCGCAGACAGAAAGTCGCCCGATGAGACTAATGACAGGATGCAATCTGCCCACGATAGAAGGCTACCCACATACACCGTATGAAAGCCCTGCAAAATCGAAAAAATCAGTCTCGGCTCCGTTCAAAGTGGTGCCTAAACACTCACGAGCAAGAACAAGCGTCCCTCGGTAATGCTAAGGCTGTTCCCAACCATCTTCGCTGGGTATCGCATGATCGACGATGCTTCGCCAAGGACGACCCTACTAGGATGCCATTGCTGAGGTAACAAACTCTTGATTGGCTCGTTTTTCTCTTGCTCATCTACCAACTGCCACCTTCCCACATCGAATACAGCGATTGAGCGACTGCCAAGCAGCAGTAGGAGCTCACCCGTAAGCCAGCGCAAGGCCAGCACCGGCTCGGAATGCTCGTATGTGTCTCTCTCTTGAAGCTGTACATCTTCGCGCACTTTGCCTTGAGTTTCAAGAGTGACACCATGAAGCTCCAAAAGCGACACTTCTCGCCCAAGGCTGAATGCGAGCACAGGCGCGGCAGCCGCCGTAGCGACTCTCCACGAGAGTGATGCCGTGGCTGGATCAGCGTCGAAGCCATGCCCACGTCCCACTGATGAAAGACCATTCGGCTTTGTATGGCCACCATGTTGCATCTCCTCGAGCATATCTTCGACAGCGTCTTCCTGCTGTCGCGGCCGCGCATGCCCTTTACGACGCCACCACGTCCTCGCGGAGGGTTTCACCCCGCACAGGACGATCTTGTTCGGTGATGCAACGGCTGTGAAGAGGTAGCCATCGGTGATGTGTGGCACGTCCCCAAGCGGAAGGGACGCCATATCCAAGATGGTCGAATGGTGAATCCCTTCCTGAATAGTAGCCCCCCCTGCAGACGCTTTCACCGCTGGTGAATGCAGTGGATACCGCCCAAAGATGCGTAAAGTGTCATCCGAAGCGATGCCGACAATCTTGCCCAAAGAATGGTAGAAGCTCAGACCGGCGTTGTCCGCGGATACAATCGCAGTGTGTCGGGCCCCGACGAAGGAGAGGTGGATGACCTTGCTTCCGGAAAGGTGGCCTTCATTACGTCCAGTGGATATTGCAGCACTAGCAGCGGGCGTCACATGCCGTGCGGGTGCTGCATGTTTGGCAAGGTTATACAAGGCAATGTGGCCCTCTGCGTGGCCGACCCCAAGAAAAGTGTGGTCATGCGAGAAGGCAAGAGCCGTAACCATCCCCCCTGCGTCGGCTATTGCCATCATGATTTAGGGTCAGCCAGATCTGATGGGAAATTGTCTCCCTTCAGCACTCACTAATACTCTTCGGCCCGTACGTCCCGATGAGGGCTTGAGCGTAATCAAAGACCATCACCTTGCCGTCGCTCATCCCGACAGCAATCAGACCATTGCTCGCGCGCAAGACGGTAGGCCTCACCGGTTCATGTAGAGCCTTCGCGCTGTCGCCGCCATTTGTGGACTGCGAAACGTCCACACCCGGTACATTCGATGCTCTGGCCTCATACTCGCTGTCATTCATGGGCTGTAACGGTTCCATACCTGCCTCTCCATCAGCAGAGAATGATTCGTCGTGTGAGCCTCGTGCCCTGACGGAGCGGGCATGATCCCCCTTTAGTGTATTGGTCTGCGACACTCCTTTCTCTGACAGAGCAGCTTCCTCGCCCCTCGCCCTGGTCTCCGGCTGCTTCCCATTCGCCTGCTGCTTCTTGTCATCTCGCTGCCTCTTGCATTGGAAGCTGGCATTCTGCCCATAGACGTGGTTGCTGACTTTGCGCAAAGCACCCCATCGAAAGATATCTTTGCCGTGCAGCTCCATGAGCTGTTCACCTGCCTCCACCGTCAGTGGCACACCCGCCCCATCAAACTGCCTGTTCAAAGCTCCTGCGGCGGATGCTTCCGCTGATGCTATCTGTGATGTAGTGGCTGAGCACATTGTGGGGGTCATGGTCCCATACACAGTGAGGTCAAGCGTTGGGGCATCTGGCCCAGCCCCGGGAGACTGATGATTGGGCGCACCATAAGGATAGAACCGGGTCGCCTTGGTCTGCGATACGGAGCACACGGAACCAGCGAGGCTGGAAACGCTGACGCTGCGCTGGCCCAGTCCGCCAGGCTGAACCTCAAAATTCTGAGCATCAACGCCGTCAAGATGTGAGCTCAGGTCCAGCTGAGAAGACCTTGCCGAAGGAGTTTTTGAGTCGCCGCACGAAGAGCCTTCCCCATTGAGGAACGCGCCTGCTCGTAGTCGCGAGAGACTAGGATACTCTTTCGGTCTCCGTGAAACAAAGTCCGTCTTGCCTTGACGTTTGTGGGAACTGCCCATGCTGATGAAGCTGTGCGTGAAAGACATCGAACTGGAGGGGGATCCATTGCCGATAGATGCCGTCGAGGAGCTGGAGGGGACGCGAAAGCTGCAGAGCCCCGCGCTGGAAGGAGGTCCAATCTTGGATAGCAGCGGAGCAGAGCTGTCTGCGGACGTTTGAATGGGGACCGTAGCTGCAATTCTCATCGACGGCACGTTCTTTCCTTTCCGCCGAGCAGGAGGGGGTGACACGGTCGGCGCTTCGGTAGATGTGGACGACCGTTCGCCCGTATTTCCGCTTGGAACCGAAACATCCGGCAATTCTGAACTTTCAGACCTCACTGAATCCGACACGATCGAGTCGACTGAATCATCCGGCCGGCCGGTCGGATTTGACTTGACTCCTGCGCTCGACCGCGCCTTTCCATCTGCAGCGCTGCACGATAGGTCGTAAGGCTCTGGACTTGGCGGCTGTTTTCGGTAGGCGGGTGCAGCGCCAGGAAATACGAATATCCCATCATCCACATCGTCCTCTGAGCCCGATCCGGATGCTTGGGCTTCGCCATCAGCTTCTTGAAGGGCAGAGGTCTGCGCCTGCGAGGCGAATGATGACACTTGGAGAGGGCGTGGAGTTGTCGCTTCTTGTTCGCGCTCAATATTTTTCGAATATCGTTCCGATTCATCATGTTCATCATCACCCATGATGTCGCGCATTCTCTTCTCGTAGTCGGACAAGCCCAGCTTCTCCTTCCCTTTGGAAGCGGGTCCGGCTGATTGGGAAGGCCCTTCCTCCTCACCTTCCCATCTTGGATCGTGCTGCCACTCTAGCGCTGCCTCCTCGAATTGATTCTTCCTTCTTGTCGCCTCATCAGGCAACGAATCCCATGCAGCTGCATCCGCCGGAACTTCACCTTCTGCATCTTCTTTGCTTTCAGGATACAAGTCTCCATGGCTATATGATGAGGAGGCCCTGATCGTCGAGCTTGCGTCGCTGAAGCTCGTTTGCGTACCGTAGGAACAAATCGAATGGCTGCCGCTTATTGATGGCGAGCTTCCATTGGCATCATTGTGCTGCACGTTGGTACTGGAGCCGGGGTATACGAACGAGTCGCCGTTGTCGTCGCCATCCGAAAGGATATCGGCAAGCTCGCGCTCATACGAATCCATCGTTGCGGCCTCAATTGCTTGCCGCAACAGACCTCGCGCGCCAGACCGACGAACTCGGAATGCGTGTCCCACGGCAGACACAGTTTCGCCAGTCCATTGATGCAGGCTTATATACTGCAAGTTGCGGCTTGCAACCAGCAAGGTCCAAGCTGAAGCAGCGCGTGAAGCTTGCGCATCTGTGATCGGTCTCTCTCTTCGTATGTGCAGCATTCCCAATTCCTTGATCGTCACGTGTGAAGCGTGCGGCCATACGACGTGAATGTATATAGGGTTATGGATTTTGCTTATATAATAGCTTATTATCCACCGGTCTAAGGTAAAGCAACGGAAAGTTCTTGACCTCCGGCTTTCAGCAGCAAAGTGCGTCAGAGTATCAGCCAAGCCACTGCGATACACGCATATAAAGCTCAACATATGGCTTAATCTCTTTCCCATTGGCCCTGGCCCCCGCTGCTCAATAGGTTAATGCCAAGGCTTGGAGTCAGGTCATGTTTATTGTTGCCTGTTGGATATGGGAATCTCGATGCTGCTGACTTTTCAGGCAGGCTCTTCTCGCATGTAATTTCGGACTCCCGAGTATTAATCGGTTTAGTTCCGCTGTATTCTACCGTGCCTTGCCTCGGAAAGAAAGTCATGAACACGCAAAAGCCATATGTGCTCTCTTTCTGGCATTCCGCCCCTGTTATCTTTTATCTTCGCGAGATAAGGAGAAGACTTTTCTCAGCATTGGCTTCTCCCTCGGCTATATGTTCATGACTTTCACACCTGTCTCTGCAGGCCTCCGCAGACGCCAGAGGAGTGGCACAGGCTGAACCATCAGGGACAAGCATTCAATTATTGATCTGTGCATTGAACCCAATTTGCAAAGATACTGATAAAGGTGTTGTATGTACTGGCGAACCCAGTTGGCTTTAACCTGCTTCTTCCAAGCTCTGACATCCGGCAACTCGGACGTGAGGATCACACGGCTATCAGGAACGCAGCCTCACGGGAAAGTCGACGGGAAAATACAGGATGGCCCTATGTGCTGATATGAGGAAGGACGGATAAAACATCGGTCTCCCACGTTGCTCTTTGAACATCACCTCCCTCGCGGCCATCATCCAAAGCACCACGCTTGGTCAAGCCCAGCCAGTTACTCCCTGCACCGTTTCGCACCATGGTGTCGTCTTCCGCACAAGTGCTGTCGCCTTCGGCAGGCTGGGCTGTGGTAATCGCCTTGGGTTTCGGCTTTGCGCTGTTCATGCTCGGCTTGACTGCAGTGCAAGAGCGCTACACGGAGGTCTCGATCAAGACCAACGATGAATTCTCGTCCGCTTCACGCTCCGTCAAGACGGGCTTGATTGCAGCAGGTATCGTCTCAGCATGGACGTGGGCCGCAACCTTGCTGCAATCATCCACCGTCGCCTTCCGCTACGGTGTCTCAGGCCCATTTTGGTACGCCGCGGGTGCGACGGTTCAGGTTCTTCTCTTTGCAATGATGGCCAGCAAGACCAAGTCGAACGCACCCTTTGCGCACACATACCTCCAGATCATTCGCGAGCGCTGGGGCACGGTTGCACACCTGTCCTTCTTGTTCTTCGGCCTGGCCACAAATATCCTCGTCGGAAGCATGCTGATCCTCGGCGCTTCAGCGACTGTCAACCAGCTGACTGGCATGCCCACGCTCGCGGCGATTTTCCTGACCCCAGTATCTGTCGCTGTGTATGCCCTTGTTGGTGGAATGCGTAGTACGCTGATCGCAGACTGGACGCACACTGCCGTCCTGGTGTGCATCATCCTCACCTTTGCCTTCACCGTCTATGGCACGTCTGGCAAGATCGGCTCGCCCCGAGCCATGCACGATTTGTTGCTCAGCGCTGCCCCAGTCTCGGGCAACGCTGCAGGGTCGTATATCACCATGCGATCGCTGGACGGGCTCAAGTTTGGCATCATTAACATTTGCGGTAACTTTGCAAGTAAGTCTTCTGCACCCGCTCCGAAGACTTGAACGTGGCCATATGTGCTGAGAGAACTCCCTCCCCCCTTTCCCTTGCTGTGTAGCCGTCTTCGCTGACCAGAGCTACCACCAACGCGGCATCGCATCGAACCCGACCACCGCTACGCGCGCTTTCATTCTCGGTGGCGTCGCCTGGTTCGCCGTGCCGATGGTAACTGCCTCCTCGCTGGGTCTAGCCGCACGCGCGCTGTACGGCAAGGACCCAGATATGGCCGATCTGTCGGCCTCTGAAGTCAGCGCGGGCCTGGCAGCACCTGCAGCAGCAGCAGCCTTGCTCGGAAAGAGCGGGGCGGCGGCCATGCTCGTTATGCTATACCTCGCCGTGACGAGCGCGACTTCTGCACAGCTGATCGCCGTCTCGTCCGTGTTCACATTCGACGTGTGGAAGCCGTACATTCAGCCATCGGCAAGCGAGAAGCAGCTGTTCTGGGTTTCACACGTGGCCGTCGCTGCCTGGTCGGTCGCGCTGGGCGTCCTCGGGTTGATCTTTTACGAGATTAACCTCAGCATGGGCTGGTTGTACACGTTCATGGGCATCATCATTGCCCCAGCCGTCTTTCCTATCTTCAGCTGCATTGTGTGGAGCAAGGCCAACAGAACCGGTGCGCTTGTTGGCATGTTTTCGGGGCTTGCGCTTGGCATCATCGCCTGGCTTGTCAGTGCCTCGCTGCTGGAAGGCAGCCTCACCGTCGACACCACCGGCGCAGACAACCCTCTTGTGGTAGGCAACGTCGTCTCGATTATGGTACCGGCCATCGTCACGATTGTCTGGTCGCTGATCACGCCCGATAACTACTCGTTCGAGGGCACTCGCGCCATCAACACCGAGGTGAGCGACAGCACGACCACCTCGCCGCCGGCGGACAGTGCGATGGAGGAAGGCTGTAAGGAGGCTGTCGATGAGACGCCCGCAACGCTTGAAAAGGCAACTGTCAAGCTCAACGAGATCGATCCGCACAAGCACGTGCGTTCCGCCGGCCTTGACCACGAGCAGCTGCAGAAGAGCTTCCGCACAGCAGTCATGGTCACCGTCCCTTTGACGTTCACTCTGCTTATTTTCGTGCCGTGCATGTCGATGTGAGTGTGAATCGCTGGCCTGGGTCAGGTTGCCTTCGACAAATTATTGAGATGGGCCTTTCGCTGGTTATATTGCCAAAGCATCGCGAAGACCTTCTCGCCCGCGGGTCTTGGTGCCTGGATTGGCATCTGCATCTTGTGAGTTCGATATCCCGTTTCATAAGGCAAGAGACGCAGGAGTTCCAGCGGCGCTTACAGCTCCTTCTCGGTTCTTCTCAGCTGGCTGTTCTGCTCCGCCTTCATCGTGATCGTCCTGCCCATCTGGGAGTCGCGTCAAGCAATGGGCCAGATTTGCAGCGGCATCATATCTGACCTGAATGGTCGTTCGAGGAGTTTTTCTTCGTCGTGACAGACAAGCTGGCAATTTTTTGCTTTCCAAAGCTAGAGGAAGACAGTGTAGCAAGTGTAATTGTGACTACGTGATGACAGGGCGGTGACGTATATGTTAGGTGTCTCGCCTTGCATCATGAAATATACGGTCGCATCGTCAACGATCTGTAGCCGATTTGCTCCGTGGTCGAGAGGCCGAGGTGACGAGTGCAATGCAAATTGTGTGTTAGTGCATACGATCACTTGGAGCTTGAAACATGGCCAGCCTGGAGACAGTAGGGTGGAAGAAGGAAGGAAGCGACCTCGAGTGAAAGGCATGCCTAGTAGCAGGAGCAGGGGGAATGGAGCCTCTACGAGGATTCTCGAGCCATGGTGGAATCCTTGGTCGTCTTGGTTGTGTACCGTGACCGGACATTGCTGCGCTATGACGAGCCCTCGCATGGATCTCGCAGTCTCGATTGTCTTCTATGATAGACAAGCAATACATGATATGTTGGAAGACTGAAAAAGTGCCTTACGTGATTTACTTGATTCAATTGCAATGCAGCGCCTGTGATAATGTGCCTGATGCCTGATGATGATTCAATCATTGGCTGTGCTGCCGCCGCACCAACGCCCACTGACTGGACCCGATCACTCACTGTTCCCCGCGGCTGCCAGCAGGAGGCAGCACAGTCTCTTCTCTGCCCTTGCGACCCTTTTCTTTCTTTTTCTTTTTTGGTGTGCGCTCTGGCGTCTCTGCGACGGCGCCTGGGCTATTCTTGTTATTCCCATCATTTGTGGTCTGTGACTGTGCTCCCGCCGCCGCTGCTGCTGCTGCGTAAAAATGAGTTCGATCAAGCGCCCGATCAGTCGATCATGAACACACTCTACCGACGCCCCCCGCTTGCCTTCCCTTTCCCTCTTGTCTGACATCTTCGTCTGGTCACTGATGTGACCACCACGCTTGCTTGCTCAGGTAGGCAGTCATGCCAGGCAGGCACGCACGTAGGTTGGTCATGCGTGGACGCTTGCAATACACGCCGCTCATCCACTGAGTCCATCCGCAGCCACAGCAACTCCCGTTGCACCAGTGGCCAAGCACAGCCCTTACCCTTTGCCCCGTTTTGTCGCAAACTGATCGCCCTATCACTTGCCGCCTGCCGATCATCGTACATCTGTTTGATCAGACCCGCGTCTTCGACGCAAGCAACACAGGAGAAACCAGTCCAGGCCGCGGCTCTCGTTCGCGATCGACACGTAGCAGGATCCCGAGGCCTCGCAGCAATTGAAGCACACGATGGAACCGCCTGTATCTTCAATTCGCTCCAATGGCGACGGCATGGACAGCCACCATCCGCAGCGACATCACATGTATGCAGTCGGCGGCGCTTCTTCAAGCGGCACCGGCGGCGTCAGTAGCAGTGGAGCAGGCTCCGGATACTTCTCGATCAGCGCAGGGCAGGGGCATGGGTTGTCGCCGCGCTATCGTAGCCTATACAGCCATGAGTACTATCCGTACCCCAGTCCAGGTGGAAGTGTGAGCAGCGGCAGCACAGCAAGTGGCAGCGGCTACCTCTCCAGCGGGAATTACGGCCATCACCATCAGCAGCACACCGCATCGCAGATGCAGCCACCGAGTGCTGCACACCACGAGCATCATCCTGTGCAGCAGCAGAGGAGCTACTCCGTCTCCTCCTCGAATCTACCTGCTACTACGCCAGGATTCGATCCATATCTCCTAGCAGCAACTTCCGGCAGCAGCCCTGCCCTGTCGACAGTCGTCGCGACGCGAAGGAGCTTTGGCGAGTCGCCGCAGCTGCCACATCAGCATCAAGCCAGCCATTATCCCTCGAGCGGCAAGATACAGACCGCCGTCGAGAGCCTCGGCTCGCACACATCCGCGGAAGACGCGACGCCAGTGCACACTAGCCCCCTCCTCGGCAGCACCGAAACCATCACCGCCGCCACCGCCGCTGCTATGCAAGATCGGCGCCCGTCGCTCGGCGCCCTCTCTGCAGCAGCAGCGGCCTCGCGCAACGGTACCGCCTGGATGGCGGTACCATTTAAGCAGAAGCACTCTCCGTTCCCGTTGCCGCTCAGCGAACGCGTCGCAGGTGGCGTTAGCTCGCTGGTGCACAAGAAAAGCGAGACGCTGCAGCAGAGTACCGTGGCCGGCGGCGGCGTAGCGGGCGATGCCTCGGGTAAAATGTTGAGGTACGACCCGGCAGACAACCTCGACTTCTTTGAAGAGGTCGAGGATTCCTTGCAGGATAGCATCAAGGTCGACCTCGGCAAAACCCGATGTTGTGAGTGCATTTATTCGTGTCGGAGATGGGTCTGTGCGGGTTTTTGTTCAAAGCGACTGATTATATCGGGATATAAACGACTTGTGGGGCGCAGACTGGAACATCCTCGCCCTGACCGACGACGACGACCTCAAAATGGTCTACTGCGACCCGACCCTGCAGGAGCACCTTGGCTCCGAGCTGCCGCAGTTCCTTGGCACCTCTTTCTTCAACTACGTCCACGAGGAGGAGCTGGAGCAGTGCAAGGCCGACATACGCCGGAGCATCACCAACCGCACTCTCACAGGAGACCTCTCACGCGTCCGCTATTGCCGCGTGCCCGAGATTAGGCGACGCTTGGGGTGCAAGGCGCCACCAATCGCGCCCAATTCTGATGCATATGTCTACGATCAGAGCTATGTGACCATCGACATTGTTATCAATTGGGTCGGGGAACGGTTAGCTTTGGCATTCTATCATGCCATCACGGGTGCGTCTTTTTCTTTTTCTTCCCTCCTCCCCTTCCCCCATTTTTCCCAAGATGTAGCGCTCCTTTGTGACGGTGGCTCACCATCCTGTGGCTCCAACTTTGTGATTGTATGCTCAGATCAATCACCGCAGGACAACAGCATAACGCAAAAGACCGAATGGACCAATTGGTGCGGCGCGCCGAAGAAGGTCTTCACGATGAGGCAGTGTGACATGCTTTGGAAGCAAGTCTCACGCTACGTGCCCAGGAGCCCGTCGCCCGGCTCTCCGCTTCGCTACGTCTTCCAGATTCACCGAGCCGAGAACAACGGGGACATTCTCTTTAGCTGGCCGCCGCCGCGCTTGTTCCCCAAGCCGGTCGACGAGATGGCGCTGGCGCACTCGACCTTCACGACGTACTCGGACGGGTCGTACTTTGCTGACGACTTTGCCAAGATGACCCAGGGTTTCCTACCAACGTTCGACCAGGCCGCGCGCAATGCGGGCAGCGTCCCGCCCGATCAGCCGCAGACGTCGTGCACGCGGCGCTACCGTTTGCAGCATACGCTCACGAGTGAAGGGCTCACGCGCAAAGTGGATGGCATCGTCGTGCCGTACGGCAGCCTCGTGTTCACCTGCTCGCACATTGTCAGCGAGGAGGCCATGTCACGCTACCGCACCCGCAACGACGGCCTGACGTCCACGTCGACGATCACAGCGTCGTATGATTTGGGCAACGGCAGCGCCGCCGATAGGAAGTACACGGGGTCGCCCGGCATCACGGCTGCGGCTCAGCTGCTGATGGGCACCGCCGACCAGGCTGCACAGGCGGCGGCTGCGACAGGCGCGCAGCACAACCAGCAGGACTGGAACACGAGCAGCTACGGCGGCGGAGGAGGAGCAGCAGCAGCAGGGGGCGCGGCACCGCTCGATTCGCTCGCGGACGCCAGCGAGAAGAGGGAGCGCCTCGAACAGGCAATGCAAAGAAGCCAGGGGCAAGGCAGCGTCGCGACGCTCGCGGCAGTTGCCGCTGCCGCTGCAGCGCAGACGAAGAGCTGCACAAGCTGCGGGACGAGCAACAGTCCGGAATGGCGCAAGGGCCCGACCGGCAAGAAGACTGTGAGTTAATTTTCCCTCGCGGAAGTGCACGGACGCGCATGCATGCTGTGATTGGAGATTGAATGCTTCTCTGCGTGTGGCTTTGTTTCACTTTGCTTCGCTGCTGCAGCTGTGTAATGCCTGTGGCCTTCGTTTCGCGAGACAGATGGCTCGACAGCGTCGAAAAGCAGAGGGGGCGGGTGGCGGTGGTGGTGGGGATGCCTCTTCCAAGCTGTCGAAAGCGAATGGTGGGAAAGGAGCCAAGGGCAAGGGCAAGGGCAAGGGCAAGGGAAAAGACCCCGGACCAGGGACAGGGGCGGCTGGAGCGTCCAGCACGAAGGCCAAGAAGCTGCGCGATTTCGGGTCCAACCCGACCAGAGATGATGAGCCTGCGGTGCATGCATACGATCCGCAGCAATATCAGCAGTTGGAAGGAGCGAATGAAATGCTACCGCAGAACGGGCACGCCGCATATCACTTGCCACCTCAGTCAAGTGTCCATTCAGCGCATTCGACATTTTCAGCATCACCTCATTCACCACACCAACAGCAACAAGCATGCCATCCTCAAGGATTAGGCGCGTACCCATCGTGTCAGCAACCCCAGAACAATCGCGCGCAATTGTACGGCAGCACCAGCGATGGTGACCACACTTATTCTCACCCTCATTCTCATCCAACGCACCATGAAAATGAATTTTCGCAGCCAGCAGACCATCAACATCTACGGCACTCACAACAGCAACAGCAGCCGTACGATGCGTACTTTCCGTTCGGTGGGCACAGTGCACAATAGTCTTAGATTGCGGTGTGGGTTCTCTCTCTCTCTTCCTGTCAACAATTCGAAAACCCAGCAGAAAGAACGCGTCAGCTCTCTCATCGCGAAGCTCGTCTCCAGGTTTGTCTTTCGCTCTTATGGTCTTCCAAGTGCTACGCCAAGGTTGTGCTACGCCAAGGTTGTGCCACGCATGCATGAAATGTGCTAAGCAGTTGTGTCTCACTTTCTCTGCGTCGTATCTATTGCCCTCGATTTTGCTTATTTTCTGTAGTTGTAGCATATGTTCTTTGTCTTTGCCGCTCGGGGCTGTACAGGGAGGGACATCGCACATGAATTTTGCAAGTATGCCAAAAAGAACACAAAGCACTCGCTCAAGCATACCTTGCTTTGGAGCCTGCTTTTCACGATGGTCCCTCGAAAGGGTTTGCACCGGTGATTTGGCTCTAGCATCCATGCTGAACTCCTGACCAAACCTGGGCAGAGAAAAGCGGGCCCAATCCTTCCAGCTTGCCACGTCATGCTGTGATTTCACTTTGCTCATCCATGCACTGCGTGGAGACTAAACTCGGTACTACCGACATTCGACAACACCTAGGATGGCAAGTGAATCATTCGGGAAGGGCGGTTGCATAACTCTTCACCATCGTTCGCTGGGCGCCGTAAGCCTGCGTACTGGTGGCCGTAAAGGTGATGACTTGACTACTCGAGGAAGAGTGCCGGCGAGTGCGCGTGGGAGGAGGGGGGCGTTTGCTCATTGCCTTCGGAGCCACAAGTCTGACTCGCAGACACTCGAGTGGTAGGATTGGAACCGCACTCTTGCGTCGAGAAGTTCAGCTGCCATCCATTTATGTTTAGAGTCACCAGTTCGTCCGTTTTCTGGATGGATCCTCAAACCGTCTGCGTCCTAACTCACGTCCACTCAAATGTCAGCAGGTGCTGCTGTCTAAAGCCCACATCGCCCCAACAGCAAGGGCGAAAGACCGGCGACCACTCGGCATGCGGCGGGCCGATAAAGCCGTGCGGCATGCCTGCATCTATTCGGTGCAACAGAGAATACAGCACCTGAGCTGTCTCATCTCTCCTCCCTCTTTGAGTCCTCGGCTTTCAACGACACGGGTCGTGACCCTGGGACGATGACGATAGGGCGATGGTGAGCGACTACAGAGCACATAAACATCTGTACATGTTCCAATATGGTCGCTCTCGTTCAACATTGGCTGACATCAATTTCGCTGGGCGCGCAGTGGTAGCTTTCGTCCTGTGGACCTGCAAGGCCTGCTTCTTGTTCCACCGTGCGATCGTCACAGATCGGACCCCCTGCATCCAAAAGACCGAGCCTCTCGCTGCCAAGCCAAAACGGCCTTGCCGCCGTCACTGTCAACCCCTGCGCTCGACGATTTCTTGTAGCTGCGAAGCGCGCCGGACTTGTTCCGAATCCTGCTGCAGAAAATGTCGCTCAAAGGTGAGGTGGGTTGGTTACTTCAATTCGAGACCTGCAGGACAAGCTGACCGCTATGCCCATTCACTGTATGAATACGACCCTAGGAAAGACCGCTTTCATCACGGGAGCGTCTCGCGGGATCGGTCTCGAGATCGCCAAAGCGTTAGCTCGCAAAGGAGCAAACGTCGCTGTTGCAGCAAAGACGTGAGACCTCTTAACCTAATGATGCGTTTTAGAACATCGATTTGTGTACTCATGAACGATGCTTTGCTTTGTCGTATCTGCAGCGTCGAACCGCATCCCAAGGCACGTAGAGAGAAGCACGAAATAGCTTCCCAGAAGTTGCTGACGGTTCATTGCAATTGTTTGCACCATACTTTCCCCCTTCGTAGCTGCCAGGTACGATTCACACGGCGGTAGGAGAGGTCAATGCAATCGGAGAACAAAACGGTACCGGCGCGAGAGGGTTTGCTGTACAATTGGATGTGCGCGACGCTGGAGCGGTAGAGAACGCGGTTGAGTCCACGGTAGACAAGTTTGGCGGGCTGGATATTGTTGTCAACAATGTGAGAGACCTCAGTCTGCCATCCGGCGGTGATTGACTTAAGACGACGCTGACGTTTCCTCGCGCTTAGGCATCCGCTATCAATCTTACCTCAACAGTCAATGCGACGGTCAAGAGCGTGAGCGAGCATTCCTACGACAATCTTGGTCCACGGGTTTGCCTGCTGATTCTTGCGATCGCTTTATCGGAATCAGTATGACTTGATGAATGGCATCAACTCTCGCGGCACCTGGCTTGTTTCGCGCTTTGCACTACCACACCTGCTCAGGTCCGCTTCGGCTAAGCGCAATCCACACATCCTGACCTTTGCGCCGCCTCTCAATTATTCGATTCTCTCAACGGGCCCCAAAGGCTGCTGGCCCAGTGACTTTCAGGCGACCGCATCAGCATACACCATCGCCAAGTTCGGCATGTCCCTCGCCACGCTGGCGCTGGCAGCTGAGACACTCGGGCAGGTCAGCGTCAATGCACTGTGGCCGTACACGTATATTGGTACCAGCGCCATGAAAATCGTTAACCCCGATGCAGAGACAGAGGAGAAGAGATGGAGAAGCCCTGAGATTATGAGCGAAGCTTCGATCAGGATCTTCGAAGAGAACGCAAAAGCTTTCACGTGAGCTGGCCCGTTGCAGGTTTCTGCTGTGCTTCGAAACTAACCTGTTCCATCGCCCTGCTCCAAATTTGCACACGGCTCCTTCAGTGCACAATTCCTCATCGACGAAATTTACCTGAGAAGAAATCACAAATTCACCGATGAACAGATTCGCGCCTACTCCTTGGGTGGGGCAGAGACTCCTCACGAGACGCTTGCAGAGGATTTGTTCATCAGTCAGGAGATTCGCGAAGAGATTACCAAGTCTCGCAGAGGGGAGTAACGGAAAAAGGTGACTTGCAAGTTCTATGTATGCAGCGCTAACCGGAGGGGGGTTACTCAAAAAGGGAAACTTTGTGCAAAATACATTACTGGTACACATTCTCAATCTCTGCAGTGTCATAAATTGCGAAGCACATCTGCGAGGATGCGGTCAAGGGACTACGCGGGTATAGGACAAGAAGGGGCGAGGAGGTCAGACCTCGCTGCCAGGCCGAGAAAGTGCAACAATCAATTGGACTCACCTCATCAACGCCCTTTAGCTCCTGGCTCAGCGCCACGTACTTTTCCCGCACCTTCTTGTCCTGCAAGACAGGCATCGGCTTGCCGAACAGTCCTCCTCCAGCGTCTGTGTGCCATTGCAAGATGTCCATACCAGTGTTGATATGAGAAGACTGGCTCGTCTTTGGCGTAGCAGCGTCCATAAGCGTGTAGATGTGGTCGACTCCTAGGTTGCGCACCCGCAAAGGAGCAGTCGCCTTGATCGTGCTCTGGTAACTCGATAGCGCAGGAGGCGCGACCACCTGCGCCGAGCTCGTGACGCCAAAGACCTGACGCGATGCAGCTGACGCTGCAGAGAGCATAGGTGGATTGGACACGGACATGCGTGACAGCACCTGGTCGATCCTGTCTCCCAGCACCTGCTCGCTGTTGCGGGGGTCGCGAACAAATGTTTCCAGCAGATCCTGCTTAGATGAGGATGGCTGAGGCGTTGAGGATCGTGAGTCGGACAGACTTTGCGAGCTGGTCGTTGGCAGTGATGGCCGTGGGGCATTGGGATCAAAGTACGCATCATGGACCGAAAGTGGGCCCCGTTGAACGGGCTCCTCCGCCGCCCTCTCGTAGTCCTCCAATGTGTTATCACCCTGCCCCGAGCGACTGGGGCCGCGAGGGTTACCAGGCATTCCTAGTGATGGGCGTTGATCGAGAGTGACTCCCCCGCTGAGACCATTAGATGGTCTAGCACCATCCTGCAGCACCTCTTCGATGATGGCACTGATGTCCATCTCAGATCCATCCACCGGAATGTACGAATAACGGATCGTGCCCATTTTCGACTTGGAACTGCGGATGCGTGCCTGGTTGGTAAGCACGACGTCAAGTCCTTGCACGTCATTCTTCTGTGCACCAAGCACAGCCGCTTTGGCGGCAGCTCGTTGCGCCGCAATGACCTCTTGGCGTGTCAAGGCGGCCGCATTCTGAGCTGGCGATGCTGCAGCTGTGGCTTCCTGCACAGCACTGGCCGAAGGCTGCGGCGCTACCGTTTGTAACTCTGCCTGTCGCTGCTGTTCTTGCTTGTGAACAAGCGTCTCTTGCGTTGGGCTGAGGGACCGCGCCGTCTTGGACTTGGAGATGGTGTTGACTTGTCGCAATATGAAGATTGGATCATCGGGCCGGATGTCTTCCATCAGGCTGAGCAGCTGGACTGCGTCGATGCTGCGACGCCTACCGTCGCGGGATACAGGCCCAGCCTTCAGAATCGGGGGGCGCGGGTACGCGTCAATCGCCCTGCTGTTCGGCAGCAGTCGCTTTTCCTTCTGATGAATGTCGGCTGACAGGCCATACTGTATTCGTGTTTTGCTTCTTCGGTTGGCCAGTCGCTCTTCGACATCATCGCCCCCTTCAACTACACCTTCAATAATTCCAAAGCGATCCAGACCGGCCTCGATGACTTCGGCCACAGTGGAGGTGCGCGGGAACGGCAAGATCTTCTCGCGGTACTGCTGCGAGATACCTTCTGCGGGGACGAGACCGCTCGACCTGCGTGCCATGAGCACCTCCTTCGGAATGACAGCATTCGTCTGCGGATCGAATGCTAATGACTCCGGGAGATCCGAAGGGAATATTAGCAGCCGCAGGACGAAGCGCGCCGTGGAGCTCTGAAGCGGATCACTGGACACCGGCGCTGCGCTACGGTTGAATGCAGTACCGCTGTTGAGCCTGGCGATGTCCAAGTTCTGCCAGGAAGCAGAGCCAGGCGTCGACCCCTGTTGCGGCGCTGTCGAAGCGGCTGACGCGAGCGCTGAGCGGCGGCACAGGAAAAACTTCACAGCGTGGTCATCGCTAAAGTCTCTGCCCAATCGCGCGATTGCGGGGTTCAAGCTGAGGTTGGACGAGACGGACGAGATGGAGCCGATGCTTGATCGCTTAACACTTGGCATCGTAGCGTCCGGGATAGTCTCAGTGAGCGCATCGAACACCTGCAGCGGGTGTTCGGAGGGGTGCAGGATGCGTTCATCGCCCTCGAGCAAACGGACCGTTAGGACGTAGTCATCAACCGATTGCCCGTGCCCAATGCGGAAGCGTTGCATCGCCTGCTTTACCAGGTCACGTGAGCTGGTCGACTCATTGAGCAAAACGGTCTTGAACGTTGCGTCGCTATGGATGTCGTCGCCAGCAAAGACGCGCAGGACATTGAGCATTGGCGCAGATCCTGGTGGGCCGATTAGACTGCCGGGCCTTGGCGGGCGCCCCGATGAGAGGTGCGGCGACGGCGCGCCCTCCCCAGAGATCCCCATTTGCTGACCCATTTGCCTCGACCACTGCTGCTGCGAGAGACGCATGTTACCCGCCCCATTGCCGCTCGTGGGTGTCGATCTTCCTCGAGAGCTGTCCTCCGATGAACGACCAATGATGCCCTCCCCGTCGTTGCTGCCACTGAAGCTCCCGCTCTTGCGCTCCTTCTTGTCTTTGTTCCGTGAAAAGAGTCCACTGAAGACGCCGGATCGCTTCTTGGTCTGCTTCTCTTCTCCAGTCCCGGCGGTGGAGACGTCGTCGTCATCGGCTTTGGATTTGCGATTGGCACTCTTGCGCGCATCTTTTTGGAGATCCTGTGAAGAACGGCCGACGGAAGTCGACGTGTCAGACGATGCGATGGAATCGCGCGCCGCCTGCACCTGCGAAGGCAAGAAGCCCGAGGAAGGCCTCCGCTCGCTCGCTGATAAGCGACCGGCAGCGATGGCGTCAGAGGACGAACGAGGCGCTTGACTATCTTGCGGTTGGACGCTACCCAAGGGCGACAGTCGACCAGGCTGGTTCCGTTGTCCGCCTTGGAGACTGGCGCCGGGTTGGTAGGAACTCGCAATGACTGCACCAGTCACACCAATATCGATCGAGGATTTTCCATCTTGCTGCTGCTGTTGCATCTGTTGTTGCTGTTGCGCGGTGCGCGTCGCTTCGCTGTCCCATTCCATCCCGTCATCCGGTTCCGCGCGACTGAATGCACCGCCTGCGGCACTTGGCTGCATACCATGTTGTTGCTGCCTAGCCTGTTGTCCTTGCTGCTGTTGCAGATGTTGCTGCCGGTCCTGTGCGGGCGCGAGGGCGGTGGGTCGAACACCGTCCTCCTCGATGTCATCTCCGCTGCTAACGCCATCCTCGTTATCAAACTCCCCATGTGCGTCCTCGTCCATCTGGATCTCATCCTCGTCTCCTTCACCCTCACTGTACTCTCCTTCTTCGTCCGAGCTGTATTCATCACCGCTGTGCTCCCAAGTTGTCGACGGCCCAAAGTTGACGCTGGCCCGCACCTGTTGCGCCAGCGCAGACGACGGTGCGCCTTGTCGCCGTCGTGAGAGCGCCGAGCGCTTTCCAGAGTGAGGAGAGATGCCAGCAGCGTATCGTGACTTGATGAGATGCGACGTGTAGACCCGATCTTGCACCTGTACCGCGTCCTCGTCTGTGGCTGATGTCAGGTCGACGTTGCGATGCTTGTTGAGCCTGGCAAGTCTTTCGAATGGAGTCTCGATGTTCTCTGCTGGAATATACCCGACCTCCTGCGTCCTCAGCACCCGGACCAGCCACCAGTACGAATTGGAATCGTCCAACAGCGTCAAGCTATTGCCCTTGTGCACTGTCGCTTGACCCTCCACAGTTGCGACGAAATTGTGTAGAGCATATACCAGATCAAAGTCGATGTTCTCGTCTGGGATGCTGGGAGAGGAGGAGAGATCTTCATCTTCTTCGTCGTACTCCTGGTCGTCATCCGATCCTTGCTCCGTCCCTTCATCCTGTCCATAGTCTTCTCCAACTGATGAATCTGATTCTTCTCCCATGTACTGCATGAAGAGTATTAGGAAATTGAATGAGGACCACAGGCGGTGGCTTTACCTGAAGTGGAAAACCAGACTTACATGCTTGCTGCCATTCGCGTAGTGGTCAGCGTTCGACGAGCCCGTCGTCAGTCGTCTTGGGTCGTTGGCATTGGCATCCTGTCCCTCGTCCTCGCTGCTGAACCCGCCATGGTCATCACCACCCATGCTCATGTCCATCGCGCTACTTGCACCACTCCCCCCGATGCCGAGCCCGTGGGAGCCCGGTGCATGCGGATTGTACAGCTCGCCGACTCGCGGCGCACTGCTCCCTGCAGGCGCTTGGGCAGATGCGCGCCCCTGGACGGCGCTCTTATTGGCCTGATTGCGTGAGCCGATCGTGTTGGAGAGGGCCACGTCCAGTGTGAGGCTCGGGCGGGTCGCCGTCTGCGCCATGATGAGCTTCTACCTATCGCCTTGCCCCTCCCTCTTCTTTCGCGCGTCCCAAGGGAATACCAGCTACACCGCCCGAGCCGTGATAGAATCTTCCAGCCAGCGCGGGCTGATGATCCTTTCTTTCGGGCAAACCACCAAGATCACTTTAAGCGTATGGATGGATGTTTGAATGCTCGGAAAGATGGATGCGTGGATGGGATGGATTAATGCTGAATGGATGCCGCTTTTTGCGATCATTCAAAGGTGGAATGTCGCTGCTGTGGAGATCCCGCGTCAGCGCAGGTCATGAATCGCACTGAACCGCGCCTCTCGCTGAGGATTGCGATTTTCGGAAGGACGTTCCAGCGTCGCCGACGAACACGGGAGGCTCAGCTTGCAATACAGCGATGATCCAGGCGCTTACGACGCGACCTCGTTGGGGGGGGATGGAAGGATTGCACCCATGGGCTGTTCAGCTGTCAAACATAGGCATGGTATGAAGCGGCTCTCGGATACTTTGACGTGAGATATGCGAGTCTCCATGTACAGGAATTGCGCTTGACTGCTGCAGTGCCCGTGACAACGATAGCGCCTCGCGCGGCCTACCAGCCACAGAAGCGCGAGGGCAGTCAAAAGTATAGATACATTAAGTACATTAGAGGCAGTCAGCACCTGGGCAGTCTCTCGAGTCTTGACTCTGATCGCAGCCGCAGGTCATCGCATCGGTTGGTCGCATGCCCTTTTCCTTCGGCCCTGCCCCCGTCTTGCTCACTGTACCTGCGACGCGCCAGCATCATCCATCCAACCATCCGTGATGAAGAACAGAAAGGAACACGTGACCATGCATTCAGCCCTGTCGCGGCATCGGACCCCACCGTGGCCAGATCCACCAGCCCTCACCTCTCATGGTGGACTATGCTATTTGTACCTGTATACTTCTCAGACTATATGAATCCAGCCAAACCCCTGCCTTTGTAGGGTGCCTCTGCACCTCTGCCCATTGGTCTACTCTGACCGTCCCACGCTCACAACACATCCATCTATCCACAGGCATCTTGCACACAGTTTTTAGTGATCGGTTGCCATACTTCCTTTGCTGTGTACATTACAGATCGCATCTCGCCGCCCGCTCATCCCACGCAGCCCTTTGCGCAGAGTAGGCCGTCGTTGCGGCCTCTTGGAACCCTTAATTACAGACTCACACTTAACTGCCCACCTCACCACGGGAAAACTGCCCCACCTCACCACGAGGAAACAGCAGGAGAAACGCGTGCAAACTGTGGTGGCAGCGAGTTCCGCTGAAGGGCTGCGCGTGTGCAGGCACGTGCATGGGGTGACCGTACAAACGCGTGGGCGTGACAGAGAGGCTTGGAGGTTCAGAGCCAGCTATACATGCGGCGCAAGAAAAACACAACCCTACTTGTGATCCCTGTGCAAGTCTGCAAATTTTTGGGTAGGAAGCATGATGGCAACCTAATGTCTCTATCTCTCTTTCTCTTGACTTCAAGCCAGATTTCGTCGTAGTTGACATGCAAGTTCGATAGAAGATTCCCTTGAAACCTATACTGCTTGGAACGACACCGAGTAGCCCTCCTTTCCAGTCAGGTAGGACCACAATGTCAGCTGCTGCAGCGACGAATAAGCGCAAGCGCACGCGTAGCCGGAGAACGCGGACCGCCATATACGAAGACGGAGCTTCGTCATCGTCGTCGTCGTCTTCATCCTCAAGCGACGACGAAGGCAGCAGCGACTCAGATTGCACTGCTAACAATCTGAAAGGGAAGGAAAAATTGAAGGATGATAATGGAGACGTGACGATGAACAGAGCGTCGGATTCATCGGACGACGATTCAGACTCGGACTCTGATTCAGATTCGTCGAGCTCCTCTTCGTCGGGTAGCAGCTTGGACCTCACCCTCCCTCGCGGAAAGCGAAGAACAGCTACTGCAATTGCGGCAGTGGCAGCCGTGGAAAGGGCCTCGGCTGCTGCTGCTTTCGAGGATAGTCCAACTTCCCAGGCTCGTCCAGATCCTTCGGCCATCACAGGGCCTGCAAATGCGACCGCAAGTACGAGTATGCGCAAGCCTCTACCTCCCCAGGAGAAGGTTGCAGCAGTGTCCGCAACCGAGCTGCTGAGTGGCAGAGCGCGGCGAACTGTCTTGCGCCAGCAAGAGCGTGAGCGCGAGCGGTCAAAGCGGGCGCGCTTCACGCCATCTCCGAGCGCCTCCGACGACGACGGTGACGACGGCATCGGCGCGGCATCGGGGCATCTTAGGGGGATAGAGAAGCTGCACGGCCGCTCGTTGCCGCCTGCAGAAGAGATGTTCAGCGCGAACTTCCTCCCGCCGCTGCCGCGCGCCAAGAGGAGCCTCGGCTTGGCACCTGAGAAGGAAGAGGAGATCGCCGCGATGCTCGAGCTCCGACAGAGGATAGATGTGGCGCTCGCAACCAAGCAGGCTAGTTATTCAAGCGATGGAGACACTGAAAGGGCACATACAACCAAGCAGCGCGACGAGACGGAGCAGAAGGCGCTGCTCGAGGCGCAGGAGGAGAAGAAGGAGATGTTCCGAGATATATGGATGAAGGCTGTTGCGGAAGAGTTTGGCGAGGAGCTTAACAATCTGCGTCAGGTGCGTCCTGCTTCTGATGTTGCCTAGAACTCTCGCGCTCATGAGGAGAAGATACCATTGGCTGACCGGTGGTTCCTCCCTTTCTCTTTCCTCACCTCGTCTGAAGCGCGAGCCAGCGCTTACAGAAGTAGCTGGCCGCCTACCCCTGCTCATCGACTCGCTTCGATCCGGCGCTGACGTCTTCCGCATGGGCACCAAGTCCAAGTCATCCGATGGTCGGAACAACGCCGACATAGACGAGGTGCAAGTCGTGCTTGAAGCAAACGAACGCGCACAGCAGCGCTGTCAACAAATAGATGCATCACTGTAGCTAGTCGTTCGCTTGCCATGGTTGCAATGTACACACGATGCGGACTCGTAAAGACGACGTGAAATCGTTTTAATCATGTTTAAACTCTGTGCGCGTGCATGGAAATTATGTTACGGATTCCCCTGCGCTATACATGTGCGTACAGGCCAAGTGCATTGCTTATTCGTCGATGCTGTGCTGTTCAATCACATCATCGATCTTGAGCACGGCGCGCACGAGCTGCGTCGCGAGCAGGAGCTGCTGTCGCTTGCTGACAAGCGGGTCGAAGACCCTGCACCGCTTCATGTCGTTGTCTCCGACGCCCATGCAGTCGATGCCGAGCTTGGCGTCGGACTCGTTGACCTGCCTCGCGCGCACCTCGGCAAGTGTCTCGATCGGCGAGTACCCGCTGTTCTCCGCCAGCGCGAGCGGGATGGCGTCCAGCGCGGCCGAAAAAGCTCGCATGGCATACTGCTCGATGGAAGCGATCTCGTCCGCCGCCTTGGCGACGGCGACAGAGGCGCAGATCTCCGCTGCTCCACCGCCGTACACGACGCGATTGTCAACGACCAAGTTCCGCACGACGCAGATGGCATCGTGCAGCGCGCGCTTGGCCTCATCGATGATCTGCAAAATTGGAATAATGCGTGAGCGATAAGAATCGTGCATGTCAAGCCAACGCGGAAGGCCTGTCGAATCTGCAACACACCATCTTGTTCGAGCCTCTAACAAATACGGTGACAGCTCGAGTGTTGGCGCACTCCTCAATGACAAGCATCTTGTCACTTGTCGTGCCAAAGCTGACTTCCCTGACAACGCCGGCACGGCCCAGCTTCTCTGGACTGAGGTCCTCGAAGCGCGGAACGATCCTTCCGTTTGTCGCAATCGCAATAAGCTCCAACTCCGGTCCGCCGACCCATCTGACAGCCGGAAGCTCGTGTTGCAGCAGGAGATGGTTCGCTTCGTCGTCAAAGCCCCACTGACAGATGACCAAGTTGGCCCCGCAGTCCTTGACCTTCTGGATCATCTCCTCGAACTTCTGTCGCTCGTATTCCTCCAGCTTCCGGTACTCCTCTACGCTGGTGATGTCCAGCTTGTGTTTTGTTTTGGGCCGTGGTGGCTCGAATGGGCATGTGAGAATGGCGATGCGAGCATCGTGGACGGTACGCGGCATTTGAGGATGTGACATGTCCTTGTCGATGACAACGCCCTGTACCAAGGAAGTGTCTTCAAGCGACCCGCCGACCTTCCCGTCGACTTTGATCAGCTCGAAATCAACATCTCTTCGTGCAAGGTCAGCGACCGAGAGCACAGAGTCGACTGCAATGCGTGCGAACTTGTCCGACGCTTTTGAAACACTATTGGTTAGACGGGTTGATTGTCAGCTATGCAGCAAGTCTCCCGAACTCTGCCAAATACTCACATTTTGCTACCCAAGCAGGTCTTGGCGGTCTTCATGAGTTCGTCCACATTTTCTTTGGAGAAATCGACAGTGTCTGCCACGCTCTCCAATGCTTCGACAGCGACTGTGCATGCCCTCTCGTACCCATCAGCTATCCGGATGGGGTGAATGCCTCGGTCAATGAGACTCTCCGCTTGCTCCAACAGCGCACCAGCCAGGACTTGAGTCAAGGGAGGAGCACCTGTGTCAGCCCCTGAAATGACTTATCATAGTGCAATGTCCAATGGCTAAAAACTCACCAACGACGCCAGTAGTGCCATCACCAATCTCATCGTCCTGACTCTTGCTCAGCTGAACGAGCAGTTTCGCGATCTGGTGCTCCAGCTCCATGCTGTTCATAATAGTCGCGCCATCATTTGTCACCTGAATGTCACCATCTGGGCTGATTAGGATCTTGTCCAGTCCACGAGGCCCCAAGCTGGTCTTAAGGATCCCTGCGACAGTCTTTGCTGCTGCGATGTGGTTCTTGATCGCTTGCACACCTTGCGCGCGCGTCTTCCTTCCCTGTTCGCGCACGACGATGAACGGGCGGCCGTACTCGTCCTGCGCATAGGCTACTTGAGGTTCAGCCATTGTAAGTTGCTGTCTTCTCTCTGCTCCCACTGAGGTTGGCAGTTGACTAGGCACTCAATGTACGGTGCGACAAAGAAGAAGCTTGCTAAAGAGCCGAGCATCATCCACACATGCCTAAGAAGCAACGCTTTGAGATATCTTTCTGACGAGCGAGAGCCGCGAGACGCGGCAAGCGCAAAATCATTCCGCGTTCCGCCCTTTTCTCAACACTGCATCCTCGCATTTCTTTCTTTGTGCCGTCTGCAGCATGCACGAGAGCAACCCCGACAGATAGCGGTTGTTGAGTAGTGAGTCGCCACGGGATATGCTTCACTATTCTGGAGACGAGTCTGTAACCCTGTGCGGTTGGGCATATGCCCCAACCTCCGCCCTGTGATCCGGCGAACCTGGATCATATACCTTGCACTACATACTACACACATGTCGGTCTACAGAAGTGGGAGCAAAGTGGATGTATGACTCGACGCCCACCATCTTAGGCCGTGCCCTCGACGTTCATGATGGGCGCTTTGGGCTCTGCGCTTGCCCGCCATCCATTGCGGAACCCTGCCGTCGCGGCAATGAGACCAAAGACGCCGACTGTCGCATCGTTCAGCATGCCTCCAGGCAAGGACCTGGAGAAGCCGAGCAGAGAGAAACTGTCAACAACGAAAATAAAGTGTAGTAATTAGCCGAGCGCAGTGCACTCACCAATGAATTGTCAGCGGTAAGTAACCAATGTTGACCCAGAGCTCGTTCAGGATGGCCGACTTGCGAAGATCTAACTCGCTCCACATGCTCCTTGTGATTGCCTGCTCTTCGGCCCTCGCGCTGGCACACTCGTCGTAGCCCTCAGTTTCACCGCCTTTCTCCGAGATGCTACTGCTACCTCCCCTCACTCGTCCGCCCGGCTGCACCGGGTGCCCTCGTGTGCGCTCGAGCGCGCGTGCACGCAAGCGCAGCATGCGATTATCCTCAACGAGGTGCAGGCATTGAAGCATCACGTACAGCGCCCAGAGACGGGAGCTGGCGAGCCACAGCTTGTTCTGCGTCGATGGCGTCAAGCCGATGATGCTCTTGCCGCCCAGGTAGGCAACCGCTTCCATAGGGCCGTACAAGAGCATCGACCAGCCTTGGATACGCTCAATGTTGTGCAGCAAGCGCGTTGGCGGTGGTTGGCGCTCCATGGCGATCATCTGAAGCAAGGCCATCAGTACAGGCTTTGTCAGCCGTCTCATTGAACATGCGAAGGCTTGAATAGACGTCAACGAACCCATTTAACGATTGGAAGTACACCCCAAATTCGGTACAGTGTCCTTCCATCTGAACAAAGAGCACCAAGAATCGCTAGCCTCTTGGCGACAGATGAGCCACCATGAGGGGCATGATATTGCCGAGTCCCCTGCAGGCGGAGACGAAGACGGTGTTGCAATGATAGAATCGCGATCAGAACTTTGCTGCCATATTGTGTGAGCATGAGCATCTGTTAAGACAAACGAGTACATCCGAGTAAAGTCAGCGAGAAGATCAACAGCCTGCCTCGCAGCAGCATTGTTCGTGCGCATCGAGTACGGAGGACAATCTTTTTCGATATGGACGAACCTTATCTGTACCGCTCCACGTGGAAAGGTATCGAATGAGATGGTCTAGGAATGGCGAAGGCGGCACATTGACAAAGCACCCCAGCACTTCGTCGGCTGCAGTCCGCTTTCTGGGTGCCTTGGTTCGCACGGCGCGCGGAGCGCCGAGCGCATGGCTGCTGCTGCCGCCGCTGATGTTGCTGTTGCAGGTCGGCATGATGAATGTAAGCCTTTCCAAGTGCCAGGGGCAGCTAACGACTGCTGGAGGTGGTAGAGGCGGCGAAGGGGAAGCGTCGAGGACGGTGAAGCCCTGACGGAGAACAAAGCCTGCCCTGGGCCGGAGAGAGCGAAATGGAGTTGGCAGTAATCAAGCCCCCGGCTTTGCCTGCTCGAACTTCCGCGCAAAAGCTGGATTGAGCGTGAGTGGGAGAAAGGAACGAAGCAAACCGACTCGGCGAGGTGGTTGCCGGCACGAATAGTGTTTTTGTGAATGCCGCTATCACCAAATCGTCGTCCGGCTAGCCGCCCCCGGCCGCCGAGGTGCAAGGTGCTGCTCGGGTTCCTGCTTTGTTCACACCCGCAGGTCGCATGCCCCAACACCGGTTTATGGCGGCATTATCCATGCACGTGATGCGCATATGCGAGACGGGGTTCGGGACCAGCAGCGTTTGTGCCAAAAGGGGAGTCCCTTCCTATTCCAAGTACCACCCTAACCGTCTCACGAAGAACCAACAAAAGTTGCAGAGTGGCTCTCATTGTCGAGCTCAACTGGAACACAAGCTGACTCTGCTGATGCGTTTGTGGGGTCTAGACATTTCGTACAGCAGGATTGAGTCTGTCTTCACTCTCGTGGCACCGTGCTTAATAGTCAAGACGGAACTCAGGGCAAAATGGCGGCCGAAAAGAAGGATACGGGTGAGGTGCAAGTGTCTGCTCCGTGGCCCCGATACACACAGGCTGCTGACGGTTCGGCTGCGCTCCAACCTTCCCATGAACTCATTGCATTGGCGTGCGCGACACAGAATCGCTCGATGCGATCACCGACCGAATCAATAGCCTTCTCGGCACGGGAAGTGGTAGCAAAGATGTAGCAGCAAAGAAGCCAGAGGAAGAGGCAAGAAAGCCAGAAGATGCAGCAAATGTACCCGCAGATGGCAAGGCAGCGGGTGGCGCTGATGCGAGCAAGGAGCAGGTGGCAAGCAGTGAGCGCAAGCTACAGTGGTGAACCCCATCAGCCGTTTCCAATGTGTCATGCCTTTCTTGCCTCTGCAGACCTGAGGGTTTCTAGCTACGAAGTGCAAGTCACCTTAGCAGACCAGCAAGCAGACCCAAACTCTCCCTTATTCTCCGTTAAGAACTTCAGCGACCTCGGGTTGTACGTCTCCGTTTGGATTACGCACTACATTTTCAAGTTCAAGGAAGTCTGACAGAAATACTCTCTCAATGTCCACACAGGCATCCTGATCTGCTCAAAGGAATCTATGCGATGAAATTCACCAAGCCCTCCAAAATTCAAGAGCGAGCGCTTCCTTTGCTCTTGCAAAATCCGTGAGTGTATGCTCACAGTAGCGGCCTCATATTCTTTGGCACAGTGCTGACTTGAAGTTCTTGATGCGGCCCAAGGCCACGAAATATGATCGGGCAATCGCAATCAGGCACTGGCAAAACTGCCGCGTTCGTGCTGACGATGCTCTCACGGATCGACTACAGCGTCGAGGCACCACAAGCGATCGCCTTGGCTCCTTCGCGCGAGCTTGCACGACAAACGATGGATGTCGTGACGGAGATGGGAAAATATACGCCCGTGAAGACGCTTATGGCGATCCCCGATGCAGAGGGTGCAAAGCGTAGCCAGAAGATCGCAGCGCAGTTGATCGTGGGGACGCCAGGCAAAGTGATGGAGCTGGTCAAGTACAAAGCGATCGACACGAGCAAGGTCAAGGTGTTCGTTCTCGACGAGGCGGACAATATGCTAGACCAGCAGGGCTTGGGTGACCAGTCCATTCGGGTCAAGAAGTGAGTCGGCGATGCAGCTGTGCGAGCAGCATGGACGTTGACACGCTGTTACCCGCTGCTTTTTGCACAGCGTGATGCCAAAGACGTGCCAGCTGGTTCTGTTCTCTGCCACCTTCCCGGATCACGTGCGAGAATTCGCGTCCAAGATCGCACCCGCCGCCAACGAGATCCGCTTGAAGCAGGAGGAGCTGTCCGTCGAGGCGATCAAGCAATTCTACATGGACTGCAACTCGGAGGAGCACAAGTATCAAGTCCTTGTGGATCTGTACTCGCTGCTGACTATTGGCCAGTCGATCATCTTCTGCGCCAAGCGCGATACGGCAGACCAGATCGCCAAGCGCATGACCGCCGAAGGGCACAAGGTTGACTCGCTGCATGGCAAGCTGGATACGGCGGAGCGCGATCGGACGATCGATGCGTTCAGGGACGGCAAGAGCAAAGTCCTCATCGCAACGAATGTCATCGCAAGAGGCATCGACATCCAGCAGGTTACGCTCGTCATCAACTACGACATGCCGCTCGCCCAGGACGGCAAGCCGGACGCAGAGACATACTTGCACAGGATTGGTGAGTGCCATCGATTCTGTGGCATCCTCGCAACTGAGCGGACAAAACATAAGAAACGCAGATTTACTTGCTGACAACCGCTGCCCACGTGTCCGTGTTCTTCCCTACTACATTTTCATATTCCCCGCTCTCAGGCCGAACAGGTCGTTTTGGGCGCAAAGGAGTGTCGATCAACTTTGTGCACGACCAGACCAGCTGGAAGAACATGAACGCAATGGAGAAGGCGCTGTCGTGCAACATTGTCCGCGTCGCGACGGACGATATGGAGATGATGGAGAAGACCATCAAGGATGCGCTGAAGAGCTAGTGGCTTCTGGCTGTACCATGTACAATAAAGCTCGCAGCGGGCAACGCTCGTGCACCATGCGGCTTTCTTGTCACGCTTTGCGAACGATGATCATACCCGATTCAGCTTGCACCCCCTTTGTTTGCCTCCATATCCACTTGCATACGTGTCAGTGCTCCATGGCGACCAGCCATCTTCAACTTTGAGCTGTCAGCTGTGATCATTTCAAAGGATCGACCGTGCGTGGGCGAAAACGGGGGAGGTCGGTGGGGCCGTGGTTACTGATCCCACGCGGGTGGGCCCGTGGGTGGCGTCCCTTCTCTTGACTCCCTGAACGCCGCCTGCGCCTCTGAGCCGCTTGCTGGTGCCGGTCTAGTGATGCCCTACATCGGGAGGCATTCGTTTCCTCTTTGACTGCATGTCACACCGATTCAGGGAATCGACCCTCCTCACGTTGTCACGCTCGCTCACACACCTCTCTCATCAGCCCCATTGGGGTCCTGACACAGATTCTTCACGGCATACTGACAGCCGCTGACTGCTAGCAATCTGTCTCCAGCGAACCCGCGGCCGGCAGAGCGGAGGAAACCCCGTTCAGTAGAACTTGTCGCGCAGCCCCGTACGGCATCCCAAGCTCACGGCTTTTTCGAACCGCATCATGTCCGGCTACGGCAGCGTACCCGGTGGAGGTGACAGCTCACTGCTCCATTCGATCTTCGACCGAGCGCAAGATGCCATCTTTGCGCTCTCGTCCTGTCTGCCCTGCGGGCCTTCCTCGTCCTCGCTCAAGCTCAACGGCCGCAGCTTCGAGATCGTCAAGCTGCTCGGCGAAGGAGGGTTCAGCTTCGTCTACCTCGCACGCGATGCGCAGAGCGGTCGGGAATTCGCGCTCAAAAAGGTAGGGACTCCCGCCGAGATACTCATTTCGACGAGTATCAATCTTGCTGATTGCTATGTGTTAATGGGGATGGTTCAATATTAACGTGTCAGATCCGATGTGCATATGGATCAGACTCATTCCGAGAAGCGTTGAAGGAGGTCGATGCGACGAAACGCTTCCGATCACCCAATATCATCCGCATTTTCGACTCGGCAGTCGTGCAGGAGGGTGACGGAAAGATCATCTACATCTTTCTGCCGTACTATTCGAAAGGTAACGTACAAGATGCAATCAACGCGCACGTCGTACGAGGCAGTCGATTCGGCGAGAGGGAGATGCTGCAGCTCTTCCTCGGAGCGTGCAAGGCCGTCAAGTGCTTGCATCAGTACCGCTTGCCGAATGTTTCGGCGCAAAGATCAGCGCCTAGCATGAGCATGGACGGCCCACCTGGCGCTTCGAGCTCGACCGCGACGCTCAAAGCGACGTTGCGCAGCGGCAACAGCAGCAATGACGCGTCCGACTCGGCATCGCTCTCGCGCAAGGAGACAAGAGAGGACGGGGACAATGTGCCACTCATTGATCGGGAAGGGGGAGAAGGTGATGAGGCAGCTGCTTATCCCCCACGGCCATCTGCCGCCGATTCGGATATAACGAGGGACTCAAATGAGACCGTCAGAAGGGTAGCGCTAGGTGGAGAGGGATCAGAAGAGGGTAAGGCAGGAGAGCTGATGCCGTATGCGCATCGCGACATCAAGCCCGGGTGAGTATTTCCAGTTCTATCACAAAATAATCGTGGGGTGTAGGTGGTGAAGCTGAAGAATATCGTTTCCTGCAGGAATATCATGATTGCCGACGACGGGCAGACACCTCTCCTTTACGATTTTGGGAGTACCATAAAAGCGCGGCGAATGATCAAGACTCGGCGAGAAGCAATTGCTGAGCAGGTAAGCCGCTTGTGCATCTCGTTCGGAAGTGACAAGACTCTGATCGCCTTGCTGGGCACCCGGGCAGGACCTGGCCGCTGAGCAATCCAGCATGCCATATCGAGCGCCAGAGCTCTTTGATGTCAAGACTGGTACCGAGATCACCGAAGCAGTCGATATCTGGGCGCTCGGCTGCACTCTCTTCGCCATGGCGTACCACCACTCACCCTTTGAGACGCCACAGACTCTCGAGCAAGGCGGCTCGCTCGCCCTCGCCGTCCTCAATGGCAAGTACAAGTTCCCGGATGGGGACCAGTACTCGGAGGCAACGCGCCAGATCGTGAGGTCCTGCCTTGCCACAGACCCTAAAGCGAGACCGACTATTGATGGACTAATAGACTTAACGGAGAAGGCGCTGCGGGGTGTATCTTGATTGGAGGTGAAGTGATATGTATATAATACAGCTTAAGGTGTATTTGACCCTGAGTATGCTGTCATTCCTTTTGATTCTATGACACCACGTTCGCCCTTGTTGCATCTACTGCCCTTTATACCGCTGAGCCTCCCACGAGCTCCAGAGCCGCTTCATGATCGTCTTGCCCGCCGAGTCGAGCATGCCGACGAGTGCCGCGTCGCGGTCATGACTGTTGGTAATGTCGCACAGGGCGAACAGGCCAGGCTCCAGTGCGCGCTGCAACGTTGAAGGCACAAAGGTCGCCGACAATGCCGAAGAGGACGGCGAGGAGAGCAGCGCACGGACGTAGGCGACCAACACGTGGATCGCGTGCCGCGCAAAAGGCTTCGCGAGTGAGTCAACCTTGTCGCTGCTGTCTGCGGCAGTCCTGGACCGGATGGCGAGCGTGATCGTACGCGCCGTGATCGCGCTTAACAGGCGCGCCAGAGCACGTGCACACGTCTCGTCAAGCGGCAAGTGCTCCACATCGAGCCAGGTAGGCAGGCTACGCTGGATCGTGCGCAGTTGCGCTGCGCCAAGGCGAGGGATCGCAGCGCGGAGGAGGTGAATCATGCGCCCGAGTATGATGCTCAGCTGAGACAGTTGGCCAACGAGAAGATCGCGCCGCTGACGGATCAGGATGGAGAGGGTGCTGGTAATGTCCAAGAAGATCGCACGAGAGTCTTCGTGCGAGGTTCGCACCTCGACGTCAGTATTCCTCGGGGAAACCAGCCCGCTGATCAGGAAGAGGAGCAGCTCGGTGTGCTGATGAGTAAGGAGGACAGTCTGTTTACAGAAGTGCCAGGGTCAGCGACCACGTAATGCTCGTTCTAGGCAACCATCGATGTACTGACTTTTTTTTGGCAGATTTCGCGCACGGTGCGGAGCATACTTCGCTGCGAGGCGGAGCTGCTTGAGATTGAAACACCAAGCAAGATCTGAAAGTACTTGCGGACGATATCTCCAGAACCTGTCAGATGGATAGCACGGTCAGTACTGGAATCAATGGAATATACCCAAAGCGCGACATCTGACTAACCCTCAGGCGAATGGATGAGTAGAACACTTATAACTTCGCTGAGGCCTTCGGCAAGCGCTGGTTGAGCGCTCACAGCATGTATTTGGAGTTGCTGCATAGCCCAAGCGAGATGACCTTCGTACTGAGCAGCAGAGAGATTCTGGACGCTCTCCGCGTACACGGCTTGCAGGCGTGTATCGAGGATACCGCAACTCAAGGCCCGTGCATAGGTAGGAGTCAAGACGCTGATGTCGCCGTCACTTGCATCAGTAAGCCTAAGAAGGTGGAACAGGGGCAGCAGAACATCAACCGAGTGCATAGTGTTTGCGGCTTGCTCTTTCCCTTCTATTTCTTCGAGAAGCTTCGTGGCCATGTGCGCGCACAATTGCACAGATGCTTGCGAGAGCCTTTTCGCGGATGTCGAGCTTGACTGGATTTGCCGAATCTTCGCAACTGCACCCCGCAAGTACCACTGCACCTGGTCAAACCCTTCATCGCCACATGAGAGCGCATTTTGCACTTGTTTCACAGTTCTCTCGAGAGCTTCCATGGCTTCGTCCTTGGCGACTTCCTCGGACAGCTTTGCGGCGTACCCCGGCAATGTGTCGAGCAGAGTCTCCTGGAAGACAATAAGACTGTGGTCCCAGAGAGCCGAACTCTTGGCCTTCATGGCCGTCTTCTCACGAAGAGCAGCGTGCATCGCGGGTAAGCCTTCGGCGGATGCTGAGCCATACTTCCGAACCCACTCTCGCAGGATGGCAAGAGTCTCATGCTCCAGCGCGCGAGACGTCGGCTCCGTGATGGAGCTGAGCACCGCCAGAACCTGCGACGCTTCCATCCGCGCACCTTGCCTCAATGCTGTCACTAGCACAGTCCTGATTTGCACCGAGTGAAAAGTTGTCTTTTGTGACTGAGACTGTGATTGCACAGCCGCCTGGCAGATTTCATCCCACCTGCCTGCAAAGTATTGAGGCGGAAATTGCGTGACTGCACTTAAGCGGTGAGCATTCTGCCCCTTTTGCGTCGTTTTCGAGCCAGCGACACTGTCGTTGAGAACATTTTGAAGGATTGCTTTGCGCCAATTCGGAAGCTCGAGGAAGGCGGCAGACGATAGCACCTGTGTGACGATTTTTGCATCCTCCGAAGGAGTGTTGGGACTTGTGATTGCGTTGAGCATGATGCCGCTGATATCCGTGAGAGACACGGCGCCTTCACCGCCAGCAGCAGCGTCAATTAGAGCTGCCCATCGCCGCAGAATAAGTCCCCAAACAGATGTACGAATTGCCTCTCGCGTAGGAGAATGGATGTTGCCATCCCATGGGCCTGGTCCCTCGCTCGCATCTGGGCTATCTTGCAAGAGGCGAGTCAAAGTGTCCATGATGAGCGAAAGGAGGGCTTCGAAGGAATGCTGCCAGGGGAGTATGCCGTTCTGTGACATTTGTAGAAGATGCAGCGTTGAGTCGCACTGTGACATGGAAGAGTCGAATGATCAGCGACGCATTCAGGATCATTGCATGCGCACGAGCGCTCACCAATTGCCAAGTCTGGTCGCCAGGTAGCCCGGTTTCAGCAGAAAGCAGCTTTTGTAAGCCTGGTAATATATCATCAAAATTTCCCAAATCCTTCTTGAGAGTGCTGCTTTCCTTTCCATCGCCCACTTCTGCGGAGTCGTCGGGCTGCACAATGGCAGGAAAAGCTTCATCATCCTCCAGCCTCTCGCGAAGCTGATCAACAGCAGCGAGAAAGCGCAGCGCTCCATTCACGATACGCAAGCATAGCGCTGGCTTGTGTGAAGATGAAGTGAGCTCAGATAAGGTGCATTTAAGGACGTCTTTGACACCGCGCCCTTGTGGCTCTGTAGAATGCAAAAGCTGCCTTATGAGCAGCACAGCTTCCTTGCGAACAGAAGCAACGTCCACCTGCGCGATCACGTGGCTAGCGAGATCTAACTCCAGGGCCAGTACCCCGGCGGCGCTTGCTGCGTCGGCTGCACCTCTTGCTTGGAGTGAATCAACGAAGGCAGCACCATACGCAAGGCACCGACTCCGAACATGTGACAGCACGTCGACGACTTGCAGAGAGCTGATAGAGTGCCGAACTGCATGACGCATTGTGCGTATGGAATGCGGCGTGAACAACGGGGAGAGTGCAATGCTGAGGAAGGCCGAATCTGCATCGGTTTGTTGAGATTGCAACCGCTGCAGGACTGTCTCAATCGCACCCGATAGGAGCTGCAATAGGTCAGGCAGGGAGCGCGTGCGCGTAGCACTGCTGACGATGAGATTGAACAATTGTTCTGCTCTCTCAGCAACCTGGATTGCTCGGGAGGAATCATCATCGCTAGGAGCGGCCGGTGGCCCCGTAAGTAGCATTTCGAGTGTAGGGCCGAGCATCGCGCTCGCCAGGTTGCTATCGAGTGCCCATACTGCCGCCACGATTCGAATATCGTCCAGCCGGGTCGTAGTAGACTGGTAGACGCCACGTTGCCGGCCGAGCGCACCCGCTAGTAGGGACTGCAGAATGTGCGCCCAGCCTTCAGCACCGTCCGGCGTACCGGCGCGGTAGAGCTCGCATTCTAGCACGCAATCGGCAAGATGGCGTAAATGCTGAACAATCTGTTTCTCCGTCATTCCCGCCGGGCGAACCACACCTTTGCGATCACTCGCAGGGTCCTGCTGGAGAACATCACCGTACACGGGCCGAATAAAAACGTGTAGGATGGACGTACGAATCACAGCGTCTGTAATGCCACTTTGGGGCTCGTCCCCCACCACTGTTGCTTGACGATCGATACGCAGGCTGAAGCCACCTTTTGACCGTAGACGCTTGACGAGCATAGGCAAGAGCTCCCAGAGCATGTGCAGGGCAGAAGCATCCTTCGGCGTTGTCGAAACGTGCGAAATAGCCTCTATCACTGCCGTCAGAGTCATACTACTTTTGTGGGTGCCCGTTCCATCTCTCTGCAATGCATGTTGAAGGACATCGGCATTGAGAATGGAGTCTGCGAATGTGATGCGAGCGAATTTCTTCACGTGCTGGATCTCTTTTGACCAAAGAGGCTGCTCGATCAGCCACGAGCTTCTAGGGACCGTTTCAAGGCTCAGTAAGTCTGAGAGTGTGTTGAGACCAGTAGAGAGTGTGTAGATATAAGCCTTCAGAAATGCGAATGATGGACATAGCAAGTCAGTGGTTCTGCTCAGCAGTGCTTATTGATCAACATGTGCTGACCTTCTTCCTGTTCGTTCCCGAGCCTAAAGCAGCTAGCCAGAGCTGCAGAACACTGTCGTGCAAAACAACCGTGCTCTGTAGTGCCTTTAACAGTAGCAACAACGCCTCATTTCCTCCTTCTGTCCATGGCTTGTGCGGTTGCGTGTCCATGGCCTTTTGCAGTAGCGCGGCTTCGATGTTCATCAGTGCAAGCGAAGATTGTTGCAGTGTGTCAAATTCTGCCGTGTGGCTCGCTTTGACAAGACTGGGATTCCCAGACTGCAGCAGGCAGCAAAGGGTTTTGCACGGCGTTTCGAACATTGCTGAAAGCTCTAGCAGATTCTCCGTATGAACGGAAGCCGTGTCTTGGCCCAAGAAGGCTTGGAGAGTTGTAAGGAATGACAGAAGGAAAGGAAGCACGGAGTGGCTACCGGCAAGATTTGTTGAATTTGTTCTGTCGATATTTCGAGGGGTGGTGTCGGGCTTAAATTCGACCACGTTCAGGATGGACGCTAGCAAATCCCAGTAAGCGCTTGACAGTAGTTCTGATACTCCAGAACCATTCCCTGTAGAATTTCCAGACGCAGACGACTTGCGCTTCCTTCCCTTCTTGACGCCAGGAGAATCCAAAGGTATAACCGACAATTGGCTTGTCTTTGCGCTTTTCACGAGGGATCCAAGCGTCCATTCGCCCAGCACCTCTGCCTTCTTCGGGAAAAAGAGCAGCGTCTGCGGCGCATGCCATGCCGCTTGCGCAACAGAAGTGCGGCTAATAGGTTCCCCGTCTTCCAGGTTTGACGTCCATTCTGAAGACTTTAGCGCTTTGATTACATCTTCGGACGTCTTGATGTTCGCACGGCGGAGGATTTCCGCGTAGTCAGACTGCGGGGACTGGGTGTATGTATTGACGGCGACATCGGTGACATCGCGGCCCGCGGCTAGGCCGGAAGCGGTCTTCCTGCGCTTGGTCGGCGGCATACTGGCCTTCTGAGCGCTGGTATTGGCCCTTGCTGCGGTCCCGAAACTCTTCTACTATGACCTGCCGGACTCTGTGCTAGATTTACTCTTTCAAGCCGACAGACGCGCCACCTCTTTGAACTTCTGGTACTGCAGACAAAAAAAATTGGGCAGCCTCAGCGTCCCACCCAGGCTATTAGGGCACGGGCTGATCGCCAGCGATCAGGGCAGGAGTTGAGACATTCGGTGCAACTTTCCGCCGCGATTCATCACGTGATATTTTTGATCATCAAGTCATCCTCTCACAGCGCTTGCTCTCCAGACCAAGACGAGGTCTTCACCTTGCATCAACTGCTCACAGCTTGCAACCTTCTATCCAACATCAGCTCTCTCTCCATTTTCGCACATCACTTGCACCTTATCGTACGCCTCCAGTGTCGCATAACTTTATAAGACACGATGTACCTCCTTGGACGATTTGCCACCCGCGTCTGCGCGCGCTGCGCTGCCGCCACCTCGTCCAACTCTTCCCGTCTTGCGGCTCGCAGCCTTGCAACCTCGACCTCAGCGCAAGTTTCATTGCGTCCCCCGGTACTTTCTCTGCCCTTTGCTCTCGCATCACGCCCGCTCGCAGCGAAAACATCGGTGCCCGCGGCAGAATCTGTCTCAGCATCAAATTTGCCGACAGCTGCGGGAGCGACAAGCGCTGTACGAGGCATGAAGGTCCGGTCAAGCGTGAAGAAGTTCTGCGATGGCTGCTCGGTCGTGCGTAGGAAGGGGCGGTTGTATGTGATCTGTAGCAAAGATCCTAAGCACAAGCAGGTGAGTGCGGATTGTGAACTTGACTCTTTGATGGCGTAAATGGGTCATTAGCCGAGTACGAGAGCTGATCTATGCTGCCTCCGCCTCCCATCTCATCGTAGAGACAAGGTTGAACGATGCACGTGCAAGGCACCAGAACAAGTGCGCTGCCTTCTCATTTGCTGTACTATCACAACTTTCTGCTCTCAAAAGCCTCCGTTCAGCACACTGCGAGATATTGCACAATGGCGTTCTGAATAGATGCTATAGATATGCTGCCTGAATACACGATCACTGATTGTCCCATTGAAGCCGCTGAATCTGTTCATAACTCGTCCCTGAGTCGCTTCTCTTTTTGTTGTCCGCGGTCTGTTTCCCTGCGCGTGCGCGCTTCTCAGCACAAGGTTGGATATCGCTTCTTGAATCTACTGACGATCTTCTTCACGTCTTGACTGCGAGCCCTAGTCGTGATGAGCAGCGCGTCGGGGGTATCGACGACGACGACGTCGTCCACGCCCAAGCACGCCACGGGCCTGCCTGCAGCGGGTACAATCAAGCCCCCCGCCTGGCTCTCGGTGACGACGAGGCGAGCGTCGCCGAGCACGCGCGCCTCGCCCTTTTCCGCGGCGATGAGGTCCGCCAAGCTGGAGAAATCGCCGACGTCGTCCCAGCCAAAGGTGGCGGGCACGACGGCCACGCGCCCAAGTTTGGCCGCAGGCTCAGCAACTGCGTGGTCGATTGCGATCTTCTCGAGCCCTTCCCACACCTCGCGCACTGCGGCGCTGCGCTCCTCCTCGTTTTTGTCCCACACGGCACCGAGCCGCATCAGCCCATCGTGCAGCTTCTGCTTGGTCATGGCGAGCAGCTCGAGCAAAACCTTGGCTTTGACAACAAACATGCCTCCATTCCAGCGATAGTTGCCTGTCTGCAGATACGCCGCTGCGGTCTTGGCGTCCGGCTTCTCCTTGAAGTCAGCCACGACGCGCGCATTGGGTGCTTCGTCCACGTTGAGCTTCTCGCCGAGCTTGATGTAGCCGAAGCCCGTCGAAGGGTGTGACGGCGCAATGCCGATCGTGACGACGTAGCCGGCCTGTGCGACAGCGACAGCCTCGATGACGGCCGCCTCGAATGCCTCGTGTCCACTGATGATGTGATCCGCCGCAAAGCTGCCAAGTACCGCTTCCGGGTCGCGGTGATACAGCACGGCCGCAGCGAGGCCGATCGCGGCCATGCTGTCCTTCGGCAGCGGCTCGGTGAGCAGGTTGCTCGGCGAGAGACTCGGGAGCTGCTGCGCCACTGCGGGCGAGTGCGCCGCTCCTGTAACGATCATCAGGCGATGAGCCCCGGCGAGGGGCAGCAGGCGGTCCCATGTCGCTTGCAGCAGCGTCCTTCCGGAGCCGGTCAGGTCTAGCAGGAACTTCGGATAGGACTCTCGCGAGAGCGGCCACAGGCGTGTGCCTGCTCCACCGGCGGGCACGACGCACCACAGCGGCAGAGAAGGCTCTTTGGTCAGGATCGGATCAGGCTGCGAGAGAGCACCGGACGAGAGGGAGAGGTGTGGCGCCATGAGGTTACTGGTTTCGAGGCCGCCAGCTGCCGCTGCTGCCGAAGCAGACGATGACGCACCACCGGCCGCGTGCTGTTGCTGATGTTTTTCGGGCGACATGTCGCGTGCTTGCGAGCCGGCAAGCACAAAGCTGTTCGACTGTCGTCGTGTGACGAAGGACTGTGAGCGAATGTGCCCCGGGTAGGGGATCGGTGCCATGCCTCCGGCCAGGATTTGCGGGCCGAAGAAGGGAGAGTTGGCACCTGCTGCCGAGCCACCTTCTTCGAGTTGGTCCATGCGTTGATGTAATCGTGAGATCTGGAGGGTATGCCATGGGTCCCGGTATGGTCAGTCTTTCCTTCCACCATGTGCCCGACGTCACATTTGATGCTTGCAAGGAACGAGTACAAGATACAAACCTCTCTCTGCATGTTGCTGACGCCCGCCAGAATCTGCGCCAGAATGTCAGAATCCGCCTGGCCGTGAGCTGGGTTGCTGCCGTTCGACAGCTGGCTTTGCCCCCCTGTCGGTTCGAGATACGCCATCTTGATGGATTGACGCAGCGCAGGTGTTTGTTATTGCAGGTGACGACTGTCGTCGGCTTGCTCCTCTATCTCGCAATCGCCAGGCGTGGACTACTTGCGGTAAGGTGGAAGGAGTTGCTGTCGAGCGTCGTGGATGCTCGATTTGAAGCCAGCCCGACAGTCTCCGAATCGCTGAAGAAAAGGGCGAGGTGTAAGGGAGGGAAGGCAAGTCCCGGGCTTTCTCGCGAATACACGGAGGAGTGGGCGTAGTTGTCGGTGCAGGTCACGACGAGTCAATCGATGGCGGTCCAAGGCTGTTACTGATTCTGCTCAGATGCTGCCGTCATGATCAACTTCTGCTTTGGCGTCTCCACCTTGGGGGCTTTGTGCTGTGTATATGGGCTTCGCGCCTTTGATACTTATGTACTCATACATACAAAGCGGTGCAGAGAGCACCACAACCTGACACCAAGCACTGGCGTTGCGCATTGCCGCGGCCGGGCACAGCACGGCCGCACAATGCACCCGCCCTCCGCGCTCTCACAGTTCTCCGCCACAGAGACTGTGCCGTTGCAGTCTACCAGCAAGCCGCCCTCGGCAACGGCGCCCGCCCTTCAGCTCCCTACTCGGAGAGCCGCATTCCGAGTTCCGAGCCCCGGCCGGCCGGCTTGGGAGAACATGGCGCGACGCGTTTGCTCGGGCCAGACACGCTCGATCTCCATCTCAACACAACGTACATTGTACATGGGTGGAGAAGGCCGACATCCAAATCGGCTTGGCTTTGACAAGTGGACGTCCATTACACGTCGACCACAACGGCTTCTTGGTAGCATCGACGGCCGCGAAACCCCAAAGATTTATAATTTTGCTCTTCTCGCTGCTCCCGAGGCAAGATGCTGGCAGACAGCGGCGCCGACTTTCTCGATGCGCGGGTCCGCCACGAGAAGAAGATGGTGAGCTCGTGTCATCAGGCCTTTACACCAACGCTTGCACTGACCACATGCGGGAGACCGCTTGGGACTGCAGATTACATATCGTGTCATGTCCCGCGAGCGTCGGATACACATTTTCGAGGCCAAAAAGTGTGTCGTTTTCAGCAACGAGATGGCCACAGCGCGCGAAGGCTGACCCAATTCTCCTCCAGGCAAATGCAGGATTTTTTCGCAAAAGCAGCGCAATCATCAGAGCCCGTACATGCAACATTCATCATCAAAGGTCGTCTACCCGCGGGCCAGACCAGTGCTGGCTCACGGAAGACCAGCGCAAAGAAGCGCAAACACCAGGATGCAAATCCTGAATCAAGTGTTGGTGGTGGCTGCGGCGGCGGTGGCGGTCATGCCGGCGCCAATGACTCCGCGGATGGAGGCGCTGCTATGCTAGTCGATGGGGCCGAGGATACGCAAATCACTTCGAGTGCACAAGTGACATTGCAGGGACGATCGGATGAGCTACAGGAAGCCAGTGTCCCCATCAGCGTGACTCTCCTCGTCAGCGATGAAAAGCTGGAAGGTGAGCAGCAGTGCGTGCATCGCACCAACGATGTTCTTGCTTACGATCCCACCTCCCTTCCTCCAAACCTAAAACAGAGGCCAAAGCGCGTTTTGAAACCATCACAAGCGTGCACATCTATTCTTTACAGGCCGGCGCCGTCAAGGCGGTCAGTACGAGCCCAGGCATCGTCTCGACGCAGACCGACCTTCACTCCAACCCGACGTACGCGCGAGCATGGGAGGCAGCGGATCGGGGCAGCAAGCTGGGCGTGATGCACAATTCCCAGGTGGAAGATATACTCGTGAGTGTTGAGCGTTTGGTGCAGGTGCTCGTCTGCAGTGTATGTCCGCTGACGCTGCCATTTTCTTTGGCTCCCGTGTGCGCTACTTCAGGACGAGCGGGTCAAGGCGCGCCTGTTGAAAGGTGCCGATGCCACCAAAGCTGCAGTATATGGCTCAGCGGCAGCCGTGGCAGCCGCAAGTGTCAACAAGGACGCACCGCCAGCTATGGCGTCCAAGACGGGCAACATCGCGCTCAAGGGTGCGGGTACGTCAGCCGAGGGTAGCGAGCCGGCAGCGCCATCAATGCGAAAGAAGGGGACGCTTGATTTTTCAAAAGCGGCCCCACCCAAGAAGAAGGAAACCCCGCCGCCACCCGCTGTGAAAAAGTCGGCGGCCGAGAAGGAGAGGGGGCAGAGTCGTAAGGGCAACGCGCGCCTTATCTCATCGGATGAAGACGATGACGGCAGCGAATTGGAAGAAGCGCCTCGAGCAGGCGGCGGCGACGAGGAGGAGGATGAAGAGGACGATACGGATATGGGTCCGATCGGCTATGCAGATGACGACATCGACGACGTCGCGGTTGCAGGGAAAGCGGCCAGAAAACGCACAGAAGCGCCATGTGCTCCAATGAATGCGATAAAGGGCAAAGGCAACGCCGCCAAGACGAAGGAGAAAGACCAGCGGGAGCGTGAGAAGGCGGCCCTACTTGCGATGATGGATTCGGATGAGGACGACGCTGGTAAAGCCGGAGCGGATGGAGAACCGGTTGTTGCGGCTGCTAGCAAGGCGAGCACGAGCGTAATGCGCGGAAACGCGGACGCAGAGGAGCGGAAAAGCTCACGAGAAAAGCGTCGCGTCCGCAAGCAGCGGATGGTCAAGAAGAAGGAGAAAACAAAAGATGCCAAGGGCAGGACGGGTGAGTCCACTCGTTGGCTATGGTCAGTCGATCTGCGCGTCGCACCTCACTGACGCGCTCGCCTCTACACACCCATTTGTCTTTGCTTTGCTTTGCAGTCGTGCGCAACGTGGAAACGTACGAGTCGTACAGCTCGTGGGAGAGTGACTCGGACAACGGCGCAAAGAGCATGAGCAACAAGCGTAAGGCTGCCGGTGCCAGCAGCAGTAGCGGTCACAGAGGTAGTAAAAGCAAAGGGGTGGAGGATGGCAAAGCGGACAAAGCGAAGGACACGAAGCCTTTTGCACCTGCACCCACATCGGCACCCGCACCAGCACCAGCAGCGCCACCCAGCAAGCCCAAAGCGCCAGCTCCCGTTCCCGCTCCTGCTTCAGCTTCTGCTGCTGGCAGGAAGCAAAGCGGAGGTGGCGCAGATGCCGCGGGGGGAACTGGTTCCAACAACAACAGTAACAAGCCGGGACAGCAGAGTCTGATGAGCTTTTTCGGCAAGCAGAAGAAGGCGTGATGCATCGTATTACACTCCACCGCATGCGATCATGTCGCAGTACCATATGTACATGTAGTCGATTGCGTGCTGTTCAGACGCTCGCGCAGTTCGATGCAGTCTATCAACCCTCGCTTGACTCGTGATGCCTCCCTGGGCGCGAGTTGCAGTGTCTTATCGATACGAAACGTCAAAGGACGATCGCCTCAATGGCACATGAACGCCGTTGTCTTGGAGAACTTGATTCTGTTGCTTGTTTCTTGGTGAGTGTTGCTTGTTTTTAGGCACTCTCCGTTCGTTGAGAAGCTGTAGCCTCTGACGCTTCAGGTAGTCAGACTCGGTACAAAAGGGGAGAGGGGGTGGTGCGTGCGTATACCCCCTGCATGATAGTACCACCGTCAGTGCGACCATACAGCATCCCATCTGCGCCTGCGTAATACTGCAATACTGCTTTGGCGACTCCACAAGAAAATGGATCAGCGGCCCGCAGTCGAGATCTGATCTGGCACACGTGGTGGTGAAACAAAGGCAGTGTCGATGGACAGATGGGATGAACGCACAGAGGACATGGCTATCATGCAGACATACAAAGCTTCGCCCCTGTTGTACCAAGTCTACACTCGCGATCAGGCCGAGGCTACGAAGCACTTGCCACATTGCATCATAGCAATGGACATTTTGGCACATGTCAAGATGGACGGCCAAGTTGCACGCCTCCCCTCACCTTGCCGAACGCGGAGATGAAGCACCTGTACCAAGAAGTGGCCATGGCTTACCCTGCCTGGCAGACGATGGCATTCCGGGTCGTTGATGCTCACAATCGCGAAATGCGCCACCCAACAAGTTGGGACGAGATAAATTGCTTGCGTCCTGCGAGAAGCGACAGCAGCGAACACGCTGCCTTCTGCATTGTGCGCCCTTCAAAGAGGAGCGCCGAGACAAGACAGTATTGATCTGCCACTAAGGACGAGAATTCATGTTGGCAGGTCAAACTGCTGAAACGTGGCAGCCCACATAGCAAGGATGGCAGCGAGTATCTATCTCGACAACCGTGAGGGCGGCGTCTATAGCAGCAGGTCGCGTAGGGCAGCTTGAATCACCCGCGCGGACTGATGCCACGTATGCAGGCACAAGTTGCAGAGTATCATCAGACGTAACTATCCATCAGAAAGATGGTCCCCCAGCGCCACATGGATTGCCGTCTCGTCCTTTGCGCAGTTGGCAATGCAATGCTCGGATGAGTGCTAGAGAATGAACGATGAGATGCAGTGATGAGAGGCATCAACCAAAGTAGCGACTAGAGCTGACTGATTCTCGCTCGGGGCGAGAGTCCGATTATGTTTCTAATCGGTGCAACCGCCAAGCCTCGGCTTCCCTCCCACCTGCTCTCGTCTTCGCCCGGCGTGTGCTTCTTGTGAAAGGTGGCTTGCTGGCCGACGATGGCGTGCTTTGCACACTTGGAGGTTCGCTCCAGCCACAACTAAGGCACTCTCAAACAAACTGTAAAAAGATTGATGCTGTACGAAAGAATGAGACCACCCTGTGCGTTGTCAGAAGAGATTGAGCTATCTCAACCATTGTGGAGATAGTATGCTACGTCCCGAATTTTCCATGATCTCGTCATACTAGGGATCGTGGGGTTTGAAGCTGGCGAGGCCTGCTCCTGCTGATATCTCCGTGCGAGAGAGTGTGTTCAGTGCGGAGAGGAGTTGGCCAACTCTGGGGAAAAAGGGAAAAGTTAGCAGAGAAGGCCGACAGTCTCCGAAAGTGGAGACCTGAATTGAGTGCATGGGTGTGTGTATGCCTCGGCCCCAACTGGTTCCCCTCTGCCTGGTGACAAATCCACAGGTGCCAAGAGAGGCGTAGCCTAGGAGTGGAGCGAGAGAAGGACACGGAGGGTGCGTGCTTTCATTGGGAGCAAGCGGATATCGGTCGCGAACACTATTTGTTTGGGAGCGGGTCAGGACTGGATATACTTGTCCTTCTTCTTTATTTCCTCTTACCATCAGCATATCCCGCAGCTCGCTCTTTATAAACGGCTACAGTACTCCCCGGAGGGGCCTGTCATATGGCAACGGTGTGCGTGCGTGTGGACCCATCCATCGGTGAGTGTCTGTCTGGTTGATCGATCGATCGGCCGGTCGGTTGGCCGACCGGCCGGCTTTTTTAGAGCGGGAACCGCAGCCTCGCCACCACCACATCCCCGAGTCACGCGTGCATTCTTCGTCAAAAGGGCTTCTCTGACCCCGGCTCCTCCTCTGTATTCCTACCTGTTACAGACCAGACATGACTTGTACATCCACCTCGGCCGCGGCCGCGGCCGTCGCGCGGGTGGCAGCATACTCGTCCGGTGCGATCCTCCTCACAACTCGCGCCTCTGCAACTTCCCCTTACGCAGCGACACTCGAGGCGCTGCAGGACCAGCGTGCCTTTGCGCCCGAGCAGCTCGAGGCCGTCCCGCAGCAGGCAGAACTTGCGCACTCACTTGTGCGGCTTGCCCAAAAGCAGCTGCAGCAGGAGCAAACGGGGAGATTGGCCACGCTGCTCGCCGTCTCGGACCGACATGTCCTCACCCGATTCCTGCCCTACCTCTCCCAGCTCATCAATCTTCCCATCGCCATCCACGTCGCGCTGCCAGCAGGTGGCGACCACTCGGACGTGCTTGCGCTTCGCTCGTCCGGTCTTGCGCTGATTTACAGCTCAACCGCGCAGCAGGCGCAGGCTCACGCTATTGTAGCTTCCAAGGCTGCGCTCGGGGCCCGCAAGGCCGTATTGCACTTTTTCGAGTTGGAAAGCGAGAAAGGAGATAGTAGCTTCGAAGAGGTACCCGAGCTTGACCTCAAGCAGTTCTTCCAGCGCACATCTTCGACGCAGACGAACGGCCGCGCGAATGGCCATGCCAACGGAAATGGTCACAGCAACGGAAGCGTAGACGGAACGGTCCAGGTCCAGTCTTCGGCAGCACCAGCATTCAGCGATCTCAAAGAGGCGCTGCTCGATGCGTACGCCCGGGTCACCGATATAACTGACTCCGAGGTTGCACCGTATACTCTCTCTGGGGACAATGAGCATCGAATTGTTGTGGCGCTCGGTAGAGGCGCCAAACATCTTGCCGCCGACTTTTCCGTCGTCGAGATTGGCCTTGTGCGCCCGTCCCTTCTGTTTGAGCAACACGGTGAGCTCTTGACGAAGGCATCGACAGTTGCGGTGCTTGAAAAGACCGGCAAGCGCACCACGCGGCTCGGGCCCGTCTTTACGGACATTGTTACCGGCTTGCACGATGTGTCTGTCACGCCGCCCACGATTGTCGGTGCGTCACTCGGTCACATCAGCGAGACATCGGCGGCCGAAGCGAGCGCTGCGGTCACTGCTGCGCTCGAGAGCAAGAGCCATGGCGCTCTCATCGGCGCACTACCCTCGCCAGCAGCCCAGTCCGCTACCGCCGGTGCTGAGCCACCGCACGTCCCTAAGCATGAGAAAGCATACCACTCGATGCTCGAGCAGGTCTTCGACGCGCGGCTGCACGTCGTCAACTCACCTGCTGACACTTCAGACTTACACCCTGCTGCTCACAGCCCAGAGTACGCGTTCGGCCAGATCCTCGCGGACTTTGAGAAGCGAGATGAGCTCGTCGCGCAGGCGCAGGAGGCTCTGCGTGCTGGTCGTCTTGAGCCCCGTGTCCACGAGCTGCTCACACGTTTCGTGCAGCTCGTTGACTCGGACGCCGAGCAAGCAGCACTGGCCGGAAAGGAGCTCGCATCGCTCATTGCAGAGTCTTCATCGTCTGGCTCAGCACTGCAAAATGTGCAGAAGTTGCTCCCTGCTGTGACCAAGCAAAAGTCGCGCTGGATCATCGGCAGCGACGCCTGGGCGTACGACACGGGCATGAGCGGCGTGCACCACGTCATTGCGTCCGGCAAGAACGTCAACATGCTCATCTTCGACACCCTCCCGTACACCAAGCGTGATAGCGTCGACGCAGACAAGCGCAAGAAGGACATTGGGCTGTACGCGATGAACTATGGTAACGCGTACGTCGCTAGTACAGCCGTCTATGCGGACTACACGCAGGTGCTGCACGCGCTCCAGGAGGCCGACCGCTTCAACGGCCCCTCAATCGTTCTGGCGTATGTTCCCTTCCGCACCGAGCAGGCACCCGCGCTCGAGGTGCTCAAGGAAACCAAGCTCGCCATTGACTCAGGCTACTGGCCGCTCTTCCGCTGGGACCCAAGCGCCGAGGCGCGCGGCGCGGACGTCTTCCGCCTCGACGGCGCGCGCGTGCGCGAGCAGCTCAAGCAGTTCCTCGATCGCCAGAACCACTTGTCGTACCTTTCCAACGCCCAGCCGCAGCTGTCATACGACCTCGCCGCATCGCAAGGCAGCGGCTTGCTCGCCGCGCAGAAGCGCAAGGCAAAGCAGGCCTATGACGCCCTGCTTAGCGCCATGGACGGCCCACCGCTGTTGCTTCTGTACGCATCGGACGGCGGTAACGCCGAAAAGGTCGCCAAGAAGCTCGGCGTGCGTGCGCGCGCACGGGGCCTCGCGGCACGTGTGCTCGCCATGGACGACTTCCCCGTCGCGGACGAGCTCAAGCAGGAGAAGAACGTCGCCTTCGTCACATCTACCGCCGGCCAGGGCGAGTTTCCGCAGAACGGCAGGGAGACGTGGAAGACGCTGAACAACCGTCTCAGCGACGGCATCTTTGCCGGCTCCGAGCTCAAGTACGCCGTCTTTGGCATGGGCGACAGCCACTACTGGCCCAGGCCAGAGGACGCACACTACTACAACAAGTCCGGTAAGGACCTGGATGCGCGCTTGTCTGTGCTTGGTGCAGAGAGGATGATCGACTTGGGTCTCGGTGACGACCAGGATGCAGACGGCTGGCAGACGGGCTACAATGCTTGGGAGTCCCTCCTTTGGAAGGCGCTCAGCGTCGACTCGATCGAGGTCAAGGAGGCCGAGCCGGAGCCGATCACCAACGAGCACATGAAGATTGCATCCAACTACCTCCGTGGTACCATCCGGGAGGGTCTAGCAGACACCTCGACTGGCGCGATCGCCGAGGCCGACACGCAGCTCACAAAGTTTCATGGCACGTACATGCAGTACGACCGCGACACTGTCGAGGAGCGCAAGGCTGCGGGCCTGGAACCCGCGTACAGTTTCATGATCCGCTGCCGCATTCCCGGTGGTGTTGCCACGCCCCAGCAGTGGCTGCAGCTCGATGATGTCGCTGAAAAGTACGGCAACCAGACGCTGAAGATCACCACGCGCCAGACGCTGCAGTACCACTGCATCGTCAAGAGCAACCTCAAGGCTGCCATGCAAGGCATCAACAAGAGCATGCTCGACACCATCGCCGCGTGCGGTGACGTCAACAGGAACGTCATGTGCACCCCGCTCCCATCGCTTTCACAGCTGCACGAAGACACGTTCGCCTTCTCCAAGAGTATTTCCGAGTACCTCCTTCCGCGCATGAACGCCTACCACGAGATCTGGCTCGACAAGGGCACCGACAGCAGCAATCAGCTTCTTATCGGTGGCGCTCTCAAGGACTACGAGCCGTTGTACGGTCCGTACTACCTGCCGCGCAAGTTCAAGATTGCCATCGCTGTGCCCCCACGTAATGACACGGACTGCTTCGCCCACGACATTGGCCTCATCGCTATCGCTGACCCCAAGACTAAGCGTCTCGCAGGATTCAACCTCAGCGTCGGAGGCGGCATGGGCGTCACGCACAGCATGAAGATCACATATCCACGTCTCGGTGACGTCATCGGCTTTGTTACGCCGGAGCAGACGCTCGAGGCGTGCAAGGAGGTCATGCTCATTCAGCGCGACACGGGCAACCGCACCAACAGGAAGCAGGCGCGCCTCAAGTACACCATCGACAAGTACTGGAAGGGTCCCGAGAACTTCAGGGCGGAGCTCGAGCGTCGCCTGGGCTTCAAGCTCGAGGCGCCGCGGCCGTACAAGTTTACCGAGAATACTGATAGGTACGGCTGGTACAAAGACCACAAGGACGCTTGGCACTGTGGTCTCTGGCTCGAAAACGGGCGGGTAAAGGACACGCCTGAGGCGCCTTTCCGCACCGGTCTGCGCGAGCTAGCCAAGTTTCACAAGGGCCACTTCCGTATGACACCCAACCAGCACATCATCGTCTCGGACGTGAGCGATGCGGACAAGCCGGCCATTGTAGCGCATCTCAAAAAGTACAAGATGGACAACTGGAACCTCTCCGGCCTTCAGCTATCCGCATCCGCATGCGTTGCCTTCCCCACGTGCGGCCTCGCCATGGCCGAGTCTGAGCGCTACCTGCCTGTGCTGGTCGAGAAGGTGGAGAGGCTCTTCCTCAAGAACGGACTGCGCGACGACGAGGTGACAATGCGCATGAGCGGCTGCGCCAACGGCTGCTCGAGACCATGGCTCGGCGAGATTGGCTTTGTCGGCAAGGCGCCCGGAAGCTACCTGATGCTGCTCGGCGGTGGTCATGCCGGTCAGCGACTTAACAAGATCTTCCGCGACGGCGTCGGCGAGAAGGAGATCCTCGAGCTACTCGAGCCGATGATCGCGCGCTACGCACAGGAGCGCATCACTGGCGAGGCGTTCGGAGATTGGGTCATTCGCGCTGGCATCATTGCTCCCACCACTTCTGGCGCAGCGTTCTGTGAGTGAAAAAAGTGTTGCACTTGCGCCCATGGAGCGTCCCGCTAACGAATACGTCGCTTTTTCTTGCCATTGTATCCTCAGATGACAACGTCAACACGGATGGCTTCTCGCCAATACCTGCGCCTAAGGTCGTCCCTGCGGCGACTGCGTGAAGGCACATTCTAGTGTTAATGTCGCGATCACACAACTCAAAAATCATAGTCAGATCCAGGGGTCACTCGTCTTATGCAATAGATGTGTATTTAGTCAGCTTCAAAAAGCAAGGTTGCGTTTGAGAAAGGACGATGGCGGTGCAACTGAGCAGCGGCATGTGTGCAAAACAGACAGAATACAACAAGTGCATGATTGAAAAAAGCTGTGCGGTGTCGGGGAAGCGCTTACCGTCCCGCTAATCGGCGTCGTCATCCTTCTCATCATCAATCGCATCCGTCTTGCCTTCATGAATGAATTCGTCACCATCGGCAACGATGCTTTGATCATACTGCGCGGCCGCATTCATCGCTTCGTCCTCATCGTCCAGCGCAGCGAGCTCGGCGGCTGTCGCGGCACGCTGTTGTGCGTCCTGAGCTGCTGCGTCTGAGACGAGCATTTCCTCGTACGGAGAAGCTGGCGGTGGAAGGCACCGGAGGATGATGCCGAGAAGCGTTTCGATGTCTTGCTCTTCTAGACGTTCTTCCATGCCGTCGACCATCTGTGCGCGGGGTGAGCGGAACGTTACAGGAAATTAAGGCCCATGACATTGTCAAAAATTCGAGAGTTCGAGCAAAAGCTTACGGTATACAGCTCTACGGGTGTTTGAGGTGAATGGTTGAGGATCTGTAGCTGCTCCGCCTTTGTGAGCATCCCTCGCCGTCGCCCTCTCGGCCCAGGTGGTGCGGTGAAGCCAGCTGCTTTGAGCTCGTCCAGAAAATTGCTGATGATCTCAGGCGTCTGTTGCGCACAGCCTCTATGTCGTTCGGAAAGCGTATTGATGAGCTGCATTAACAATACAAGGTGGACGTCAGCATCTGATCAGTGCGGCCTGTCTCATCCCTCTTTTCTGCACCCACTTCGTACTGGATTGTTCGGATATTCTCGGGCATTGAGCGCATGAGGTCCTCCTCTTCTTTTAGGGACAATGAGGCCTTGCCAGCCCGCTCTTTTTTTTTATCAATTGTGTGCGCCATTTGATTGCCTGCTTTGCGGCTAGACAGCTGCTCTTGTTCCATCTCCTTCAGCAGCGACAGCACCTCAAAGTCGGAGAGGAGAGCGCTGCACTTCGACACCACCCTCATGGCTGGCACACTGAACTTCACAACCTACTGCGATTGTCTTCGCCTCGATATCGATGCGATGGACACAAGCTAGACACTGAAGGCCGTCCCTCAAGTGCCGCAAGCAAGGCATGAACGAGGAGGGGTCTTACTGAATGACCCTGGCTGCGGCGGTAGTAAATGGTGCGAAGTCAAGGATCGAGATCCCTTTGCTTGCTTCAAAGGATCCCCAAATTCGGGCGGAACGGATCAAACCAAGCTTCAGGCACTGCGCCAGTGGGTGATGGGGTGGCCATTGGCAACTCCATCTCCGAGCGCCGATCACTGACTCGGAGGAGACGATAACCATGACAATGGTGGCCTCCCACCCCTTCAGGTTCGTATTCAGCAGCGACGTACGGACAGAAGTTATGGTTCGAACGTAAATATAGGCCTCAGACGCAGCAAGCAGCGCTATAATGCTGTCAAACTGCGTGATGCCACCACCAACGGCGTTGTCGGGACGCCCGAGCTTGCGTGCAAAAGGAGCCATACCCGCGAAGCCCCCAGTCAAGGATGCCGTCAGCTCGAAGGCTGCACCTTCTCATCTACAGGCCAGGTCTCGGCCATCGCAGAGCAATGGGGCAGCAGCTCAAGCGCAAGAAGCTGTTGGTATATCCTCGTCAATGCAACACTCTCGCAGGAGAATCGGTGTCGAATATGCAGACGAAGAATCGCAGCGCCTGTGCAAGTCTCGCACTGACATGCGTGTCGTCGTCTGGCTCGATATCGACAATACATTGTATAAGCAGAGCACCAGAATCGCCGACATGATGGGCCAGCGCATACGCGCATATTTCATCAACATGGGTCTATCCGAGGAGGAGGCAGAACAGCTGCACATGCGGTACTACAAAGAGTATGGCCTGGCCATTCGAGGCCTGGTCAAACACCATAAGATCGACCCGCTAGATTACGATCAGAAATGCGACGCTTCACTGCCTCTCGAGAATATCTTGAAACCTGACCGTGAAGTTCAGAGACTGCTGGCAGATCTGGACCGCACGAAGTGCCGGGTATTCGCATTGACCAACGCGTATCGGCAGCACGCGAAGCGTGTGCTCGCGTTGCTGGGCTTGGATACGTTCGTCGAAGGCATCATCTACTGCGATTATGCGAACGAAGACTTCACCTGTAAGCCGGAGCCGGAATATTATCTGGAGGTAAGTGCTTCTTTCCACGCACAATGAGCGACGTTGCATCATTGACACTGCTCGTCGCTCCAACAAAGGCAATGGAGGCTCTGGGCGTCGATGATCCCAGCAAATGCTTCTTCGTGGACGACTCTGCAATCAACGTGAGGGCGGCAAAAGGCCTCAATTGGGGCTCTTGCATTCTCTATCGCGAAATCGCTGCACCACCATCGACAGGCGCAGAAAGAGCAGCTGTATCCAGCTTCAGCGCCTCCGTTCTGCTTCCTCGGGCGAATACCAGAAATGGCTCTGTAGAGTCGCGCAAAGCTGCGAATGGCAGCGCCACAATTGATTCGATTGCTAGCCCCTCTCCAAACGGACTTTTAATACCCAGCAGCGAAGGCGACTTCGACAAAGAAGCGATACAGAGAGAGTTCAAAAAATTACCACATTCGATGCGGATACGCTTACTGCACGTCCTTTTGGATGCATGCGTTCCCGGAGACCTCGCTGCTCTGTCAAGAGCACTCGGAAGGTATATGCGAAGCACGCGGGATGTCATCAGTGCTCTCCCGGACGCAATAAGCCTCAAAATCTTTGAGAGGCTAGAGGTCAAAGAGGTAAGTCGCTTCAGCGCGCCGTATTATCAAGTGCGCCAGGACTTACGACCATCTTTGCAGCTTTTACGGTGCCGCCAAGTATCCAAAAAATGGTGCACCATTGCCGCTAACCCGCTACTATGGCACTCGCATGCTCTTGCACTCACCGAAGGAGATCCAGTCCCGTTGACGCCACCGGATGACGAGAACGAGTGGGAAGGACTCGTCAGGGGACTGTACTTCCGAGAGCGAAATTGGGCCCGAGGCCTAGCGCAGCGGATAGACTTTTTCGAAGGGCACACCGGCTTCGTCACATCCATCAAGCTCAAAGGCCGCGACACCCTTGTGACCGGCAGCTACGACGAGACGATCCGGGTATGGGACTTGAAAAGCGGGCAGTGCTGCAAGGTGCTCAAGGCCAAAGCGATCTCATGCCTAGACTTTCTTCTGGACGACGATATCCTTTGTGCAGGACTCTACGATACCGGGAGGGTCATGGTGTGGGATATGAAGACTTGGGAGCTGCTACATACCCTGTCGGGTCACAATCGCGGCATTCGCAATATCGCACTCAACAAAGACTACCTTGTCTCAGTCGGCCAAGACAAGGCAATCGTTGGTGAGTTGAGGCTACGAATGTTTCCGACGCACTTTGTGAGCTCATCTTTCTTCCCTTTCGAAAAGTGTGGGACTGGCGTACGGGCAACAAGATCGTTCGCTTTGGCCAACAGTCCAATGTCTCACTAGGCGTGTCGATCATCGACAGCGACAAGATCGTCGCTGTAACGGTCGACGGGATCATCCGCACATTCTCCATCCCCGCCGCCAAGATGATTGCCCAATTTGACCTGCACAAACTTGGCGAGAAGAATTCTCAGCTCGCTGCCAAGCTGGCTACTCTGGGTGGCAGCAGCGCGATGCTTCAGTGAGTTCATATGATACGTTGAGGAAGATCAGATGAAGGGAGATGCTGATATCTCACATGCTCACCTCTAGGTGGTTCGCAGCGAGTGGCAATACGATGACGATCGCTTCGAAAGATCTTGTCGTACATCTTGAATGGCGAGAGCACATCGTTGCCGTCAAAGAAAGCGTCTCCGCGTCAAACATCCGTCGCAGCGCCTCGATCCGAGGCGTGACGAGTGGCACGGTCTCGCACACACAACGTGAGTCGCTGCAGAGCCCACGCACACCGAGCCGCCTGGGTCTCGCACCAAGCACAAGTGGCGCACCACTGGGAGCCCGTCGCGACTCTACCGCGAGCAACTCATCTGTGATGAGCACTGCCAGCGGGCGACGATCCGTTTCGGGGGGGCATTCTCGCTCTTCCTCCACAGCACCTTCTGCCACACCTTTGCGGTCGACAGTGGCGATCACACCAGCACTTCGAGCCACGGTTGTCGGGGCAAGCAAAAGCCCATTACTGAGTCCCAGCGTCTCGCAGGCGCCCTTCACGCCTACGCCCAAAGAAGGGCGGTCCCTGGTCAAGAGCACATCAGCAACCTTCCCTTCATCACCGACCGACGGGCCTCCGAGTCAACCGAGCACTCCCAAGATCGGGCAGACGCGATACGCGCCGAATTTGGTTGCGCCACCGACCATCGTCGAGATTCTCAAAACGCCGGACATGGCAACGGGCTGCGTCGATCCCGCCAAGCGGCGCATTGTCTGCTCGACATTCAGCAGCCGCGCTGGCTCCGACAGACGGCTGTACGCTAGCACATACTCGATCGACAAGGGCAGCCTTCCAGGTGAGGTTCCTTCTGACCCTACTTTGGCTCCTGGCTCCAGCGCCGATAGAAACAAGGACGTCGACGCTGGCGCTCCTGTGCCCACCGCGGACGGCACAAGCTTCGTCGTCATCGGCGGCGCGTGGCAGGAGCGCGAGGAGGAACTGCAGGCGCCGCCGACGCGTCCACTAGCGCTCGTCGTCGACCACGAGTCGATCGTGGCGGGCTGCCAGGACGGGACGGTGTACCGGCTCGGCTTCATCGGGTCCAAGTATGGGCAGGTCGCGTTGGCGCCGACGGCAGCGGAGATCGAAGAGGGGCGGAAATGCGGCCAGAACGGCAGGGCAGTGGAAGGGGTGGATGCGGTGATTGAGGACCTGACGGAGCTGCGCCATGTGTGGGCCAAACTCATGCTCCCGCCGGATGCGCCGCTAGACCATCCGGGGCGCATCAATCTTGATGCGCTGAAGACGATTGGCCTGAAATGAAACGCCATACCTGTTATACGCTTCTGGAGGGTGTCGTTTCTTTTTCCTTTTGCTGTAATACACTTCGAGGGAGCCGTATCGCATCGCATCATGCTTCTAGGAGGGATAGCTGCGCGCCCTGCTCGGCGACGAGCCATTCGATGTCTAGTTCCGTCAGGAAAGACTGAAGCTGTAGGGAGGAGTTCCGTACGAATAGAACAAGAGAAGCGAGCTCGTAAGCATTTCAGACGTCGAATCAACGCTTGATGCGAGCTCACCATCTGCTGTCGCCGCTCCGCCTCTTTGCGTGCTGTCTCTGTGAACAGCATCTCACCTTTGATCTTGACCAGTCTGCGAATTCCGGCGAGGAAGTGAAAGCGTCAGTCTAGTATCCACGCCAATGGCCATGCACATGAGTGATCCTCACTTGTCGTAAAAATGCGCAATGGCAGTATCACTATACCCGGCACTTTGCTCAAATGGAGGTGCCGATGTGCCCTCTTTGTTCTTGGGTGGGACGTGTAGAGTGCGGTTCTTGACAGCGCTGAAAGCGGCACATCGCAAAATGCCTGGTAGAATATTCGGACATGCTCAGCTGTCCTTGCTTCCCGGAGGTGAAACAGTGCAGAAAGACGACTCTCACCAAAGCTGCCAATGGCGTCGAGCCGATCGGCATCGCTGACGCAATGCAACTCGACGTTCTCCTGCTCCCACTCGATCTGCTCCTGCTCTATCGTGCTCGGTGCCTGCCCGTCGCGTTGTGCTTGTGCGCGCGCCCGTCGCTTCGCCTGGTCTTTGCTCCAGCTGACGTTGTCGACGACACGGAAGACGTGCGCTGCCTGATCTGGCGTGATGGCGTCGGAATACTGGGAGAGGAAAGGGGCGATGACGGTCTTGGAAGATGATACTGCTTTGGACCGAATGCCGTCAGCATTGAGGGGGATGTATTTCGAGTCACAGAGGTCGTGGAACAGCCTGCGAGGGAGGCAGACGATCAGCACCGCACGTACTTGGAGATCTTCCCGGAAGAGCTTGCACACTATGGGGCATTTATTCACGCTGCCAGTTCCAGCACAAGCATGTCCGGCTGCCTCTTCAGGCTCGAGCACCTGGACAACGAGAGCGCCATCATGCGCACGCGGTTGACGTGCTGCCAGTCATGGGAGGGGTCGTGGTTCTTGAAATGCTCCGTGACAAAACCCTCGGCTCCTTCGATCAGCGCGGCTTGCCTGGCGGCGTGGTCCTCGGGCAGGAAAGGGTTGCTGCTGCTCGTATTTCTGTTGAGCGCCATGTTGATCTGCTGTGCATCTGTTCCCATTCGCGAGGATATTGTGGCGCAGTAGTCTTAACGGACCGTGGTTGCCCGAGACAAAGGCTGGCTGCATTCGCCTTCGAATTCGCGTCGTGTTGGTGTCCGTCGCTCAGCTGCCCTGGGTTGTGCTCTTCGTTGTGCCTTCACCATTCCGCCCGGACCCCACCCAGCACACATCGCATCGCGTCGCGTCGCGCCACCCCGCACCACACCACACCACACCACACCACATAACTGAGTGTTCGTTGCTTCACCTTCCGCGTTCCATGTTCCGGTTCGTACACGAATATTAAGTAAGGCGACAACGCGTCGTGGCGTGTCGTGACATGAGATATGAGACAGATGATGGACGGAACGAGCCAGCATCAAGCACGATGGGACCATTGTGACCTCATATACAACTGCTCATCGGTGCCTCCTCCTCGAATAAGATGCTGTGACACCGCAGATACCTAGAATAGAGCTTCTTCTCAGGCTTGTGCCGCAGATCGCACCCGTTTCAAAGAGGAACCATACACTAGCCCACCAACCACCTGTCATTACCATGCCCCCCAGGAAAGCGAGCGCTAGCAGCAAGGACCGGCTTCACGCCGAGGAGGAGGACGAGATGGAGGATGAAGAGGAAGAGGATGTGCAACTGGGCGGTGCCAACGCCGAGGACAGCGAACCAGAGGACCTCGGCGTCACCGGCCTGCGACTGCTCACTACCATCGACGTCGTCGTCAAACAGAGCGCGGTCAACGCCGCCAAGGGCATGGAGAAGGATGTGGGTGCAGAAAGAGGGAGAGAAAGAGAAGAGCCCCCCCCTTTTACAGATCCGGCCATGACACTGACACTGACACCGACACCGACGCCCCGCCATACCCCAGCGACTCAACGTATATGTCAGGGAGCTATGCCGATTGGCACTATTCTGTGAATACAAGAGGATCCCGTTGAAGCGTGAGGACATCACCAAGAAAGGTGCGTGCGCTGCTTGCCCCCACAGCTAAGGTACCACTCTGCTAACATTTTCCTATCTACCCTGATCGCCTCCCGGCACGTGGCATCACCACTTTACAGCCTTTGGAAGCGATAGGGCGGCGACGCGTGCATTCCCGTACATTTTCCGCAAAGCTCAAAAGCACCTGCGCAAGACATTCGCGTTCGAGATGGTCGAGATCCGCGCGCGCGGCACCGAGAGCGAGGCCCTCGCGCGCCAGAGGAGGGTGTTTGAGAAAGCTGCAGAGGACAGCAGGGGCCAGAAGGCCAAGACGAACACGCAGACGACGCTAGAGGAAGGTAGGGAGATAACCAATCGTGAGTGTTGAAATTTGCAGGAAAGCTCGAGTAGCATTCAAAAGCGCTAAAGAGAACCTTGGCTGCGCCACAGTTTCCGGAAAGATGTGGATGGTCCGCAGCGTGCTTCCACTGGAGCTGCGCACAGCCATGACCACCGCGACGAACCGACTCGCCTCAGCGGCAGCCAATGCGGATGGCGTGAAAGCGCTCCAGGGGATGCGTGCCGGTGACGATGCGGGCATTATGCTCGATTGGCGCCGCGGAGATGGGCAGCAGGGTAGCATGGGCCTGCTCTTCTTTGTGCTCGGCCTCATTCTTGTTTCGGGACGTCAACTGAGCGATCGTAAGTGCAGGAGCTAATGCATTCGGCTCCTCCTTCCGGAGGATGTATGCGTTGATGTTGAACGCATACTTCGCGCTGTTCCGTCCCGCAACAGAAAAATTACGTTCCTATTTGAACCGCCTCTCGCTCTCCGAGGCGACCATTCTGCCGCGCATGTTGCGCCCGGACGACACGCCTGCGCACGATGACTATGGGCACCAGACGGCGACGGCGCCGCGCAAGCCTGACAGCTCGGCGCACACCGTCGGCGAGTGGCTCGACCTGATGATCAAGCAACAGTACCTAGAGACGCTGGGGACGGGGTCCGGCACCGCGATGCAGGTGATCAGCACCAGCACGAGTGCGTCGGTGGCGCGCAAGCGCGCGGCTGGCAACGTCAATCGCAGCCGCGCGGCCGCGAACCAGGAGACGTTTGAATGGAAGTGGGGCGGCCGGGCAGAGGTTGAGATCGGTGAGGAGGCCGTCGCGCACTTTATGGTCGACATCATGGCTGCCGATTCGCTTGCTGCTGCGGACCATGACGCGGTAAAGAATGAAGGAGACGAAGACGGAGGCGAAGACGGAGGCGAAGACGGTGACGAGCAGCCCAAGCGCGCGGGGAGCAAGCAGCAGCAGCAGCAGCAATCGCAGCAGAGGGGTCCTTCACAGGCCCAGCTCAAGAGGGAAGCAAAGCAGCGAGAGTACATCATGAAGAATCTCGAGAGGTCCGTCGGTTCGCAGCTCGTCAATTGATCGTATTGCCTTTCATGTACTACTATGCGCGTGTGTTATGTTACGACGGGGATCTGATGTGCTTTGTATGTGATCGGAATCGATGCTTCTGTATTCCAATGCATAGGCTCGCATTTCTTCCATGCCACGAACACGCCTCCAAGGGTTCATTGCTGGATAACAAGTTGCTGCGCTTGTTCGTAGACCAGCGCGTCGGCCGGCTTGTCTCCTTTCACCGCCGCCGAGTTTTTGCCGGCCCACTGATTCAGCCATCCAAGCACCTCGCTGTGCCAGATGCGCGAGTTGCGCGGGTTCCGCACCCAGTGGTTCTCCTCTGCAAAATGGAGGAACCTGCTCGGCACGCCACGACGTTGCAGCACGTTGAATGCCGACAGTCCTTGCGCCTCGGTCAGGCGGTAGTCCTTTGCACCGTGCACGACGAGCATCGGCGTGTTCCAGTTGGCAAGGTGGTTCACAGGGTTCCAGCGCTCATACGCCTCACGCTGCTCCCAGGGAGTGCCCGAGTACTCGTGCTCGGGGAAATAGAGTTCGTCGGTAGAGAAGAAGCTGCGGAGGAGAGGAAGAGAGAGCGGGCGATCGAGCATGCGTGCGTGCGTGCGTGCGTGTGTGAGGATGTCAGCAAGGAACAAACGAGCGCTGTCTCTCCTTGTGGGCCTGGACTCACGTGTCGAGAGTGCTGAAGACGCCATCGTGATTGACAAGGCCTTTGAACAGCCCATTGTGGTTGTGGCCCTGGAGCCAGTTGATCATGTAACCACCTGAGCATTTATTTTGGTCAGAAATCGGAGCACCGAAAAAGGTGAGTAAAGATGTGGTTCGCTTTGGATGGGTACATGCAGAACTCACCGTAGCTTGCACCTGCCGCGACAATACGCTCTGGGTCAATTTGATCGTACACGTTGAGGATATACTGCACGCCCGCGATGATGTCCTGGTATGGGCTTCCGCCCCAATTGTTCAGGATCTCCTCCTGGTACGCCTGGCCAAAGCTCGTTGAACCGGCCGGATCAAGCGTGATAACAATGCTTCCCTGTCCCGCGGCGTCTCCCTCGGGAGTAGAAGCTGCGAACACCTCCGGGTTCCAGCGCGTGGACCAGCTGTTGCTCCAGCAGCCTTCAGGCCCGCCGTGGATAAGCACTTTGAGCGCGTAGCTGTGCTTTCTCGCTTTCGACGCGTCAAAGCCGGCGGGGAAGTGGATCCAGCCGTACGCCGGGCGTCCGTTGGCGCCAGAGTAACTGAACTGCTGCGGCTTGGGCCCAAACTCCACATCGGCGAGTGCGTCGTTGAAGTGAGTGAGCTTGCGCAGGTGTGGACCCGATGGCTGTCTCTGTTTGCCCTTGAGCGGCGAATGCTCGCCGTCGGACCCATGCTCTTGGACGTAGACCTCTGGCAAAGACTGCAAAGTCGAGCCTGTTACGAGGAAGCGACCGCCTGGGAGCACCTGTAGACTGGATACACCGACGGCATCGATAAGCACGCTTGGTTCGCCTTCCGTGTCCGAAAGTTCGATCTCGAAAACCTTTTCATGTTCTTCTTCCTCTGCGAGCGCCAGCAGCTTCTTGCCGTCATAGCTGAAGTGCAACTTGGTCGGACTGCGATCCCAACCAGGCAAGACGAAATTCTGTCTGCCTTTCTTCAGATCCCTCGCTTCATTGAAAGAGAGATTGTACAGGACAATCTGCCGCCGATCCGACTCAAAGCCGTCGATGGCCATCTGCAGCCAGGCAAGCTGCGTCCCGTCGCGATTGAACACGGGGGAAGAGATGGCACCGTGTGTTCCGCTAGAAAGCTCAACGGGAGCGGCGCCGCCTTTCAGAGGCGCGACATAGATCTGCAGGTAGTCAAAAAGTGTGAATCACAGTCTGTTCGCTTCATTCTGTCAGAATTTCCAAATTGGAGTCGGTAACAGCACATACGTTGGTCTTTGTGTGCCAAGCATTGGGCAGATCCAGGTCCTTGCTCGTCCACACGACCCATTCAGCACTGACGTGGAAATCATCAGCGCCTCCAAACGGCGGGATGGGTGCCTCAAGCTTGGTGCCACGGAGGAGATTCCTGAACTCGCTTGCGAACGCCCACTTGTTTTCCTGGTCGCGCTTCAGTTCGACACTAAATAACTGCGAGCGCTTGTGCGGAGACACAAAGCGGTCCCAGTGCCTGACCATGGCGTTGTCGTACACCTTGACTTCTTGCCAGAGCTCCTCCTCGGGGCTCTCATCGTGTTCGCGCACCTTGGACAGGTCGCCATCGACATCGTAGACAGTGGCAGAGAATACCAGCGTCGCGCTGCTGGCATCAGAGCTGTGTACTGCCTTGATGTTCTCGACAGGGGCCGGGAATGTGCCGATGTGAATACCGGCATCGCTCGCTCCTGCATCCGCCAAGTTGCCTCCTGAAAAACGCGAGATATCCTTGTAGAAGAGGTGCTGCTCGCTTGTCTCCGCGTTTTCTAGCACATACACTACCTCGCTATTGGAGAGGAAGAAGCCAGCAGTCGTGTTGTGCACGATTGTCTGGATCGGTCCCACATCGTCGTGCGAAGAGGCTGGTACATGAACGAGGTGGAGCGCTTTCTTGGTTGTCTCGCTATCCGCATCATACGTCGACGTGCCGACCACCGCGAGCATACCGCTGGGGGAGGCGACGGACGAGCCGGGACGCGGAGCGGAGAGCATGCGCTCGGGGGTCAGAACGCCCCGCTCGGCGGTGCCAACCCTGGCATCAGCATTAGCGCTGGCGAGCAGCATCAGCAGTTTCAGAAGCCTCATCTTGAAGAGAGGTGCTCGCTCACGCAAGGCGCCCCATATAAACCAAAGCGAACAATGTTGGTAGAGAACACCCAGACAGGAGCAAGCTGTGAGCCGTTCTAGGTTCTAGCCTCCTCGAGCGCGTGCAACTGTGCAACACTCAGTCAGCTGAAGTGAAGGTCTCAAGACTACGAACCACAATACCTCGAGGTCTGGCGGCGGCGCTCATGCGCCCTCATGACTCGGGGACGATCGGTCCAACAGGCTTGTTTGGCGGGTTACCCGCGGATAATTAGAAGCGGGTGTCCCCCACGCTGTCACTCGCTCATCATCCGCCCCACAGGCGGCTGCAGTCTCATCCCCACACACTTCGGCTCCTATTCGCTAACATCCCTCCAGCAAGAATTCTAGGCCTACAATCACCCACGTAGACGCTGCCTGACACTGATTGTGCTTTCTTGGGAGTCTCGCTGTCATCGCCCAGGTAAGTCCGCAGTCTTCTGCACGCCTGGTAAGGTAAGTAGCAGCAAGCGCTTGGCCTGTCGTGGGAGGCAGGATCAACCAGTAAATAACTACCAGGCTGGCAGAGCCGCAGAACGTAGTTGAGCACCTGCACATTCATCATCCGCGACGAACCCCAGCGGTCACCCGGCGCCTTTAACCACTGCCCCCCCCTCCCCTTCGAACCGAACAAGGCTTCAAGGTAGAAGCTCCAATCTTCAGTTCGCAAAATATGGTACCTGTAGGCGAAGTCGAGGTCCACGCCTCGCGCGCTGCAGGCGCAGGTGCGGCGAGCGCAGATACACATGCTGTCGACAAGGACGGCAGCATCAAACATTGTGCCGTCTCGCAAATCAGTTTTGCACCCCTTGGGACGGAGCTGAACAAGTACTCGGCCGAAGTCACACAGTCTACCGATCGAGGCGGAGAGCAGGCCATGTTGATGGCGTCGGGGAGCAGCGTCGACAAGCTAGGACGTCCACAAGTCGGCATCGCTGCCATCGGTTGGTAAGGCAACCTTTTCAAAGTGCATCTGCTCGACCTGGCTAACACGATCGACAGCGGCATGGCATCTGCCAACTTGATTAGACTACAGTATAATACGATCGGCATCTCCGACGCCATGACCATGGGCGGACAAGGGAGGAGGTGTGCAATTTGGTCAGCAGAGAGATCATTGCGGACAGTATCGAGGTTGCCAGTGTCGGGCAGAGTCATACCAGTACAATCGGCATCCCAGCCTGCGAAAAAACATGGCTGCAGTGCTGATCGCTGATGCGCGAGTCGAGTAAGTTTGACTTTGGAATGATTTTGTGCGTACATGAAGGGGCTAAGCTGGTCTGATGTCTTTTCGACACCTTGTTCCAAACCGCAAGCCAACTCTGATCGTTTACGGCTGTACTATCCAACCAAGTGCTCATACGATTGATGCACCAGGGCTGGACCGCAAGGCCGGCGGCCGTTGCCAAGTAGACGACAACTACGAAGCGTTGGGCCGCAACTTCGCCAGCAAGGTCATCCTCAACGAGTAGCGGCTCGACATTTTGCACCACTCCTACCCTGGCCCAGGCTCCTGGGGTGGCATGTATGCGGCCAAGTCTATGAGCGTCTGCATCGAGATCCTCAGTTTCGGCTTGCCCATCAGCAGCAGTGCACCTGCGACGAGCCAGGCAAACGTACAAGAGTGACTGCGAGCCGGCGCGGCGATGAAGAAAATACTCGAACTGGATATGGGGTCTAGGGACGTTTTGACTCACGAGGCATTTTCAAATGCAATTACCATGATGCATGCGTTCAGAGGCAGCACAAACCCTGTCCTTCACCTGATCGCTATCGTCAAAGCTGCCGAAATCTATATAACCGTCGATGACTGCGCGTGCCTGACTTACCCTAACAAGCGGCAATGCACTGGACCTTTTTATTTAACGTCGCGGATTGGCTTTTCACACCGTGCTTGCTGCGCGTCAACTGACAGTCCAGCGCATCGGCGACCGCACTCCCTAGCCAACATGAAGCCATCAGGGAAGCACATGATGATCGACCTGAATGCGTTGAGCAGCCTTCCAGCGCTGCTCAAGTACTTTCTGGATAACTTGAATCTCCTGAACGGCGACGTGATGTCCATCACCGGCAAAATACTGGCGGATAATCTGCGTGATGTCGAGGCGATACGCATGGGTAAGAGCCAGGGCGACCTCGCTCCTCTCAACGCACCGCTCAAGTCTACTGGTCACTTGACTCTCATGCGCGGGAACCTCTGCACAGGCTCAACTATATCTGAGCTGATGGGTAAAGAGGGCTCTTACGTTGAAGGGCCGGCGATCTGCTTCAATGAGGAGCATCTCGTCATGGAGGCGATCAAGGAAAGGAGACTCAAGGACGGGCATGTCATTATTCAGTACGTACAATTCGAGCGACAGATTAATCACCTTCAGGCATTCCAAAGCGGTTCCCTGACCTATGCCGCACTCATATGGTGTCATCGCGTTTTCCCACAGATACGCTGGGCCAGGAGGCATGCCTAGCGTGAGCGAACTGCTTGGGCCGAAGGGTAGGAGCGCGACCACAGCTGTGAGATTCATAGCTAGCATTTGACTTGGACATTCGCCCTTTCTATATCCAGTCCCTATTATGGGCGCTCGTCTAGGAAAGGTACGCCTCTTTGTTCCTGCTTGCCCATGTGGCGACTCAGGTCTGACACTGTGCTCTCCCCTCGCTGCCCCGCAGACAGCCGCATTGATCTCAGATGGCCGTTTATCCGCAGCATCATATTTCTTCTGCACGGGCCACGTCGTGCCAGAGGCAATCGATGGTGGACCTATGGCACTCGTCGAAGACGGCAACAAGATCACAATCGACTCCAAGGTGCGCGAGGTGAACTTGCACGTCGACCAACAGACGCTTACCAAGTGATTGGCCGAGTGGCAGAAGAGCGGGGAAAAACAGGCTCAAGTTTTCCAGAGGTGCGTGCAGTGATCGAGTGTTACATCGACCGAGCTCACCGATGCTGATATTGCACGTTTCCTTAGTCGTCCATCGATACGCACGAGACGTGCATGATACCAGTCAAGGCTGCATTACTGACTTTTGAGGCTGCGATGCGTAATTGGATCAAAGCGCACGTCAACAGCAACTCTATAAAGCTTTTAACAGAGCGTCTAGCATGAACAATGGACAATAGCATACAGGTTTGAGAATGGATTAATGAATCTGCAAGTATTTCTATGCGGCTATCAATCAATGCGCAATGCGCTTTTCAGGTTCTTGGCGAGATAATCGGCGGGTGCGGCCGTGCATGCCAGCTGCGTCTTACTCCCAGCAAAGAGCTGCGCATTGAACGTCTTCTTGGCTTGTGGGGTCTAGAAAGCCATTGTGTGTTACATGGCGGCGGGTGAACAGGGGTGAGACACGATTTCAATGACATATTCAATGCAAGAGGGTGACTCACCTCCTCGTTCAGCCATGTCAGAGGGATCCAAGGTTCACCCTCGGCCTTGCGCTGAGCCAACATCATCTCCTCCCATTTATCGCCCACCGCGCCGCTCTTCGTGCTAGAGTTCGCATCCTCCTTGACGCTCACAGTGACGGCGCGCGCTTTGGCAGCGGCACGGCCGCTACCAGCGCCGCCTTCGTCTCCGGAGCCAGCACCATCGGGCCCGCCTTCTCGCTGGCGCCTTCGCGCATCAGCCTCAGCGATGTCGTTGGCGTCCAGATGGTGCAAAGATGGGCGCAATTGGAGGACATGGTTCAAGTTTGTCAGATGCAAGGCACCTGAAAAGAAGAGGGGCGCAAGATATCGCTCGTGATCAGTTGCGGGTGCGTCGATGCAGGAATGTGAGGGTTGTTGCTCACCATCACGCATGACGCCAACGAGATATCTTGTCGTATTGGGGACTTCGCAGCTCTGCAACTTGATCTTTTCCAGCTTTTTTGACTTCCTTTCTGATGTTTCGTCGTCTTCCCTCTTGACCTTCTTGGTCTTGCCTTCATTTTCGAGATTCTGTCCCAGCTCCTTGCCAGTCTCGTGGTTGTACACTTGTGCGCGCATGTCGATGGGCAAGTCGACTTCGACCCAATTTGCCTGCGAACGCCAGCGCGCCGACTCTTTGAGACCGCGTTCCTGTGCAGATGTGGGAATGGGTAGTGGGCGGCCTGCAGGATAATTGGGATATTGGAAGACTTGTAAAGAAGTGCCATGCGGAATCGAGCGTGCGATATAGACCGGAATGGACGCGAGCAGGTTTGGATCATCTTGCGGATCCATGTCTGCTGATGCTATATCTGACCTGGCATTCATAGCATCTCCATCTTCAAAATCATCGCGTGCAGCGTTGCGTTGCCTTTCGAGGTCCTCCAGGCTGCTTTCCGAGAGGGCCAGCGATTTACTGGTGGCGTTCGAGGCGTTGGAACTAGCGCGCCTTCTCCTTGGTCTACTCGAGCCTTCTCCACGGTCTTCATCGTCGTCATCAATGGCAGTGCTTCGTGACTTCAATGCTGATGCCGATGCACCAGTGTTTGCATCTCGCATCTCCGCGTCGCTGTCGCTCTCCGCGCCGCCAAGGAAGAGGGCATCGTTGCGTCTCGTGCTCGAAGCGGGCATTGTTGCTGGTTGCGGTACAGCACTTCGCTCTTTTAGAAGTTCTGACCTCCTACCTCGCGTGTTGGCCGATGGCTCGGTCGTTCGGACAGAGCGCCTCCTTGAGATTATTAACTGAGTATTGAAACACTCGGTAGATTGAACGATGTGCACGGGAGATGGCTGGTTGCGAAATTTCGCCAGGTAGATCACAAATATATGGCTTCCATGAGTGGAAAATGCCTGAACCGTTCAATCAGGGTGCCTTCCAACAAAGTCAATAAAAGAGTGAAGGACGGTTTGGGGCGGAGCGGTTGCAAAGGAGCGATACAGTACAGGAGAGCAAAGCCAAATCTAGCCTAGTGTGCATGTGTCCCTTCTCCTTCAAATTAGAGCTTCGAGTCAGGCGTAGGGGAGGCGGCAAGACCAGGCTCGCCAAGCTCAGATCGTGGTGGCGGCGGAGCGCTGGTTTCACCCTTGCGCGTCAGCCTTCCCTTTTTGTCGAGGTACTCATCGGCCTCGTCGGCCGTCTTGAATGGTCGCTTGCCTAGCAAGTTGCGCATATCCTCGCGTGTGATCACCTCCTTCTTCAAAAGTAACTGTGCAACTTTCTCTACCTCGGCCTTGTACTTCGTAAGGAGCTCCGTCGTTCGCTTGTGCGCAGAGAGGACCATCTTCTTCACCTCTGCGTCAAGAGCCGATGCAGTTTGCTCAGAGAAAGGCTTGTGCATCGATTCCTGCTCTTGGCGGTATGACACTATGCGAGAAAAAACGATAAGTCAATATCTCTGTCTGTCCAACCTAGCTTGGCAAGCGTGGACCTACCTGGACCAATCGTCTCATTCATGCCATACGAGCTGCAGATCTCGAACGCCATCCTAGTGATCTTGGACAAGTCGTCTTGGGCACCGGTTGTGATTCTACCGAAGAAAATCTCTTCCGAAACGCGCCCTCCAAGCGTCATGCACATCCGATCGATCAGCTGCTCCGTGGAGAAAAGGTAACGCTCTTTGGGCAAGTACTGAGCGTATCCCAGTGCACCGACGCCGCGCGGGATGATGCTGACTTTGAGCAATGGATCTGCGTGCTCGAGGAACCATCCGCAGACAGCATGCCCCGCTTCGTGATATGCGACAGTAGTCTTCTCCTCTGGACTGAGCACCCTGCTCTTGCGCTCGAGACCGGCGATGACACGTTCGATCGCCAGCTCAAAGTGATATTCTTCAATGGCGGTCGCGCCGCCGCGCGCAGCAATCAGCGCAGCTTCGTTGCAGACGTTCGCAACATCCGCACCGCTGAATCCTGGCGTGAGCGTGGACAGCTTCTCCGAAAGCAGCTCACGGTTCGTGTCTTCACTCAGTTTGAGCGGCTTGAGGTGGACTGCAAAGATGTCGCGACGACCGCTAATGTCCGGTCTGTCGATCGCAATGTGTCGGTCGAAACGCCCAGGGCGCATGAGGGCAGGGTCGAGCACGTCTGGCCTGTTGGTGCCGGCAAGGACGACGACGTGCTCTTCGGTGCCAAAGCCATCCATCTGGACGAGGAGCTCGTTGAGCGTACTCTCGCGCTCATCATTACCGCCGAAAGAACCGGATTTGCCACGCGCCTTACCGATGGCGTCGATTTCGTCAACGAAAATAATGCATGGCGCGTGTTTCTTAGCATTCGCGAACATGTCGCGCACGCGCGATGGACCAACACCGACGAACTGCCAGCGAAAAACAATTGGATGTTCACTCAAGACTTCACGCAGAGAAGTTCTCGTTATGTCTCATCACTCCGACTCACCATCTCGACAAATTCGGAACCGGAGACAGAAAGGAAAGGGACACCAGCCTCACCAGCAGTCGCCTTGGCGAGGAGCGTCTTACCCGTACCAGGTGGGCCGGACAGGATGGCACCTCTAGGGATCTTGGCGCCGAGCCTCTCATAGCGCTCAGGCTTTTTGAGGAAGTTGACAAACTCCATGATCTCTTCTTTTGCCTCGTCCATTCCCGCCACGTCAGCAAACTTGGTCTTGACCTCCGTCTCCTGGTTGAACATCTTTGCGCGACTCTTGCCGATGCCAAAAATCCCACCTGGTCCGCCGCCGGCACCGCCGCCACTCATGCCGCCTGCTGCGCGGCGGGTCATGTAGAAGAGCAGGCCGGCCAGCAGGATGGATGGCCCAAAGTGCGCCAGTGTGGACAGCGTGCTGACCTCCTCGTGGTATGCTACGGGGATGCGCTCGCTGGCCGGAATGTCCAGCTCGCGCTGCGCTTCGTCCAGTCGTCGCTCGAACGCCTCGACGGAGCCGACGCTGAACCAGTACTGCGCCTGGCCCGCACCAGAGGCAGAGGGAGGCGAGCCCATCGCGTCTGTACTCGAGCTTGGATACATGCTGCCAGTGGTATTGCTGTGCAGGTAGACCTTAACCTTGGTGCGATTGACGACGACGAGACGGTCGACCATGCCCTTATCGAGGAAAGCCGTGCGGAATTCTTGCCACGTGATCTCGCGTGATGGCGTGTCAGTAGAGTTGAGGCGGTAGATGAGGTAGGTGCTGATGACCGTAGCGAGGATCGTGTTGCCATTCATGCGAATCTCGGCTGGACCGCCGAAAGGGCTGCCAGTTGACCCCCCAGCCTCCTTGCCCTTTCCCTTGTCTCTTCCACCAGACTTTCCCTTTTCGCTACTGCTATTGCTGGCCGGCTTGCTCTCGCCTTCATCCGACGCCTCCTTAGCTTCTTTGTCACCACTTTCCTTCTCAAAGAACGACTTGAGTTCCTTGGGTATCTCATCCTTCTTTCCTTTCTTGGCCTCTCGTAGACCTATCTCGATATCCTTCTCGACTTCGCTGCTCAAGTTTGTGTTCTTTTCGCCTTCCTTTTCAGGAGCACCTAGCTTCTTGTCGGCCGTGTCTTTGTCGTCCGTAGGTGTCGCATACAGCCGTACTTGCTGTGCGGCAACGTATTGTTGCAATGTGATGAGACTGCGAGCTTCGTATGGTGGCAAAAGGTTGCTTCCTCGCAGTACGGCTTTGCCCTTCGATCTTGACGCAATGGATGAAGTTGCTGTTGTGCTGTAGGCGGAGGTGGAGAGGAGCCATCGCCTCGGAGTATTTCCGCCGATGCTGCTGGACCGAATACTTGCAGAGGGCGGAGCGGCGCTCATAACAGCCCTGATGGAAGACGCTGCATCCCTTCGAAAGGTGGCGTACATCGTTGCCAAAGCGAACTTGGAGCTCGAGCTTCAATCTGATGGGCACTATGTAATCGATTGGTGGCTGTGATTTTCCTTCTAAGGCGGCGGGTCACGCGGTTCGCGCTTGCGCTTGCAGAGTTGGATGTGCGCAAAAGATGTTCCTCCCGCTCTCGCTCGAATGCGAGTATTTGGTAGCCTGAAGGGACACAATGATGGTCCAGTCGTGGTGCGAATGGTGATCACTCGTCAGGCGTCAGGACGAGAAGAGACACAAACAAGGAGAGGATCGACATCGATGAGTCAATCTGACCAGTGCGACACAGCCAGAAATGAGAGATGGTGTGAGCGCATCGACAAGCGGAAGCAGTGAATTAGGGTTAATGCACTGGCTGCACCATGCCACAGTTACGATGAGGAAAGAGAAAGTAAGACGCCGACGACAAGTTGCACACCAACATAGAAGCATCGAGCTGCCATCATGTCCTTTGATTGGTACTGGATCTTTCCTCTAAATGCATCCGGCTCGAGCTCGAAAGGAGCACAAGAGCAGCTCATCGGGAATTGTAGCAGCCTAGCCGGGATAATGGCAGTGTGTGCGAGGCAGGAGCAAGCCGGTCGTCTGTGCGTCATTCTTGTCACTCGCTAGGTATCCACGAAGCCTATCTCTCACTCATCGGCGTCTTTGTTCGATACCGAAACGCGTCTTCATCACCACGCAAAAGTGTCATCCGCCAAAAGAGAGGGAGAATACATTCAACTGTTTGATCGCGTCAAGCACAGACGCGTTTATCGATTGTGTGCACCGTCAACGTGGTCGTGATATCCGCGGGCTGTTGCATGGAGCAGACAAGCAACGGTACCGCCAACTCGTTCAGACACACGTCAACATCTTCGCAGCGCCAGCGGAGAGTCGACGCCGCGATTGTCTGGGACGTCGGCGCTTGGCCTGGAACGCGCCCCTTCGGTCACACGTCCATTGCGCTGCGTGACAGTGTTTTGCCCCGATAGAGCGTGGATGCACGCTTCTTCAGGAGCAAACGCGACGTCGGTTGGCCGAGACGGACGAGCTTGCCGCTCAGCATGAATTCCCATAATGTAGGAGGAGGGGGGACAAATGCCACCCTCAATCCGCAGATGATGCAGGCCTTGCTGATGGCTCAGCAACAGAACCTTCAGCAAGCCCAGCAACAATATGCCGCCACTCAGCAACAACAACATCCGCAAAGTGCTGGCCAAGCGGTCGGCGGAGCAGGGGGGCCTGGCGGAGCCATTACGCAGCTTGGTCTCATGATGCCTGGAGGAGCAGGAGGAGGAGGTGATGGTGGTGGTGGCTCTACCGCTCCTCTCAATCCTCAAATGCTGTTGCAGCAGCACTATGCGCAACAGCAGCAGCAGCAACAACAGCAGGGGCATCAAGGGCAGCAAATAGCAGGAGTTTCCAACACCGGTGCATCTCAACAACACTTTGGCCAAGCGTCTTTGCCAAACATGACACCACAACAGCTGCATATTATGCAGCAATTCTTGCAAAAGCAGCAGCAGCAGCAAGCACAAAATGATGGGTCGCCTCAGATGATGCAACAACAGCCCCAACAGCAACAGGGCGCGCCGAGCGGCATGCTGCCGCCTGCGCTCGTGCAGAGGGCGCAACAGCAGCCAGGTCAAGGGACATCGTCCATCATTGGCTCCCCTCATGTGGCGAACCAGAGCAGACAAGCAAGCACAGCCAGTCCGGGGCTGGGGAATCAACCACATCCCTCTGCAGCGCAACAGCAGCAGTCTGGTCAGAAAGGCTCCCAACCGCAGCAGCCTGGAGGCGGTCCTTCATCTGCTGGAGGGGGAGGACAACAGCTGCAACAAGGTGGTAACGCATCTGGCACCCCCCCCAATATTGCTGCGCAGCTCTCCACGCCTCAAGCATGCCTTGCGCTCTTGCAATCTGTCCTGCCAAATATGCTGAATCTGCAAAAGCAATGGCAAACCATTTTGGCGCAGCCGGATGGACCGCAGAAGACGGCGGCGCAGGGTCATCTCGCTGCCTCCATGCGGCAGCTGCAGAATTACAGGACCACAGCAATGGACACGTTGCGGATACGCTTTGGCGTACCGCCGCAGCAAATCGAGGTGATGGTCAAGTCGCTTCAGCAGCAGCAGCAGCAGCAGCAGCGGCAGCGGCAGCAGCAGCCACAGCAACAGGCTGAGCAACAGCCACAGCAACAGGCTCAGCAACAGGCTCAGCAACAGCAACATGCTCAGCAACAGGCTCAGCAACAGGCTCAGCAACAGGCTCAGCAACAGGCTCAGCAACAGGCTCAGCAACAG